TTTTTTCAATTATATCAAATTTATTGTCATAATTTCGATTTTTCAAAATCAAGTTGAAGTAGTTTTTTATTCGTAATAATTGTGACGTAAATATGAGAGAGTGAAGTGACGTGTGGTAAGCTGAACAATTTTTTTTTGTTTTTTTGGTTATAATATTATATAATAAACTTTATAGCAAAGAGAATAAAATATTGTCACGAATAGTATGAAGAATATCAAACTCATTTAAGCGCAATCATGGGAGAAATATATTTGAAAAGACAAACTAAAAATTTGTTATGATCTAATTGTTTTTATTTTTTATTTTATTATATTTTATTTTATTTTATTTATACTGTAAAACCTTTTTAAGACTTTCAATGGGTTTTAATTAAACCATGAAATTAATAAAATTCAAAAATCAACACTGTTCGAATTTTTTCATGATTAATTCTATTAATAACATAGTTAATTCTACCCAAAAAAAATTAACTTGATTTTATACCATCTACCAATCAGATTTCGTTTCCTTTCTAACATCTCAGATTACGGGACTGTGGGCACGTGGTAACTAAAAAATAACCAAAATTCAAATTCGGTGGACAAGAATTGATTTTGCGTTGCCAGAAAGTGATTTATTGACTGATTGACGAACTTTTGAAGTGTTAAAAATTATGCAAATTTTTAAAGGTTAGAAAAAAAGCGTTTAGAACTGAAAGAAAAGTAATAAAAATTAAACAAGAAACTGTAAAAAATATGATAAAAAAATACAGCAATGATTACTGGAGGGAGGTTTTGAATCAATTTGGCTATTTTGATTTAATACTTTTTATTTTATTTTTAATTTGTATCTCAGATTTTATTTGGTTAAATAAAAAGCACCGCACTTTTTAAAATTTCTGTTCCAAATAAAAGCCGTTTAGTTCATTTCAGTGTAATAAATTTTATTTATAACCTATTAAAGTCAAAAGTAATTAAATAAGATCTAAACGCCTGCGCAATTACTCAGACAAATTACGTGACTTAGCGGCAATTTATTTTCTCAGCAAGTGGATCGGCGCTCGTTGAAGATTTGCTGGCATAAAAAAGTAAATGGAGCGCAATACATCAAAAAAGAGACATTCCAGCGTTTTAATTTTTTTTTATTTAATAGTAACTCTCTAACTAAAATATGCGTCAAGCTAAATCAGTCACCTTGTGTACTTAATATTTTTGCGTGTTTTTCCAGCACTGACTAACCAACAATAATTCTCATTCATTTGCTGAAAAATGTTGAAAAATTGGCGGATGATTTCTTTGTGGTTATTTTTTTATACAATATATTTGCACTTTATGTTTTTTTTTTTTACAATATTCTGCCTGTAACTTCAGTGTCGTGAATAAAACATATTTCCATACATACAAAAATGAGCACAACAGGTGTTAAAACGCGCTTAAATAACACCTAACTGTGCATATGTACACTTCTACATACTTTTATGTATGTTTAATTAAGTTAATTTTTAAATCGCTAAATATACCTCAAGACATTCGCAAAGTAATTATTTTTTATATCAATTAAATAATTCTAGTTAACCACAAAATTGTCACAAATTGTAGGTTATTGCCAAAAGATATAGACTGTTTTGTGCTTATACACTTGTGTATACTGTGCTAAAACTTAGCATATTTGCGCTTAAATAAGAAAAGTTGAATTTCTTTTATGCTGGAATTAGGAGTGGAGGAAAGTTGGGAGTCCAAGGTAGGAGGCTGTGTGGTGATTGCTTAGAGATTATTTTAAAAGACATAACCTCGTAACCTTAGTGGCTACTTTTACACATATGTATATATAATAGCCGTTTTGGATTTGCCCGTCTTTGCACGCAAAGTTTGAATAATGTTCTCTTTACGTTATTTCATAAAAGTTCTTATCGAAAAACATGATTTTTTGATGAACGTGAAATTGCGTAATAAACTTGGACAGTTTACAAGGATTTTACGAAAATGAGACGTGGCATGTTGAAATGACAAACCTTACTGAACACACTGACAAAATTCGACACAAATCCGTAAACAAACATGGCCGCCACGAGCTGTCAAAATCACGTCATCTCTATTGCTAGACGCTTACATAGTGTAATGAAGAGTATTCATTTTCATACAGTTAAATTTAGGAAAGTTGTTTTACTTTTAAAACATTTGAATAAATCGTGTATATGTATGTAGTTCTTTTAATTTTCCATATCTAATTAAAGCGTTAATAAGACTTCTTTTTAATTTTTGCGTTTTGTCATCTTAAAATAAACTTCGGCTTATCTGATAAACCGATTTATTTCTAGCATTACTTTAACTATCATAAAATTGTATAATTTTCTACTTTTACAAAATATTCAAAAGCAACCATTTTTGATGTCATAACTTTCACATGTCACATTACAAAAATCTGCGTCTGCTATTAAATTTCACAAAACTGTACATTCAGACGACAATTAGCATAATTGTCAGTTACCATAACCTAAAGGTGGCAAACAATATTCCAGCTATCAATTATCACATTACTTTTCGTTAAATTTCTATAGCTATAGTTTTATTTTCAACCATTATACATTCTAAATATTCATACATATTTCCATATAGGGTATATACGTACGACTATAACCCCATATGCTGTATTTTGTTGTTTTTCAGCCTTTCTAAAATTGAAGACATGTAGTATATTCTTATTGGCTTGAATTCTTTGTTATTCTTTTATTTGTCATTGTTTTTGTTTTGGTTGTGTTTGTTATAGTTCTTAACGCTTTTGGCTGCTGGCGTTTTTTTCGACAAAAAACACATATCCAAATTATTGCCAATTAAACGCTATAGAATACTATATACGAGTATATAGACTAATATATTTCTGCACATATATATATATGAGTATAGTTATGAATGAATCACGGGAGTGTGGCGCACATTTGTTTTGTTTCACTATAAAAAAGTTATGGCCAATATAAGTACGTTGTGTTAATATTTGAAAAGATACATATATATATATTTGATGCTTTTAACAGCGATCTAAGATGGCTTGACGCAAAATTTGTCTTTATTTACGTGCTTGATAACGCTAATTTAGATCAACAAATATTTGAATTTGAAAATTATACAAATAATTTCTGGCGAAATATCGTTGTCACGAACAGTTTTTAGTGTTAATAACCGTTACTTTTGCTGTATACAGTTAGTGAGTCATGCTGAAAAACTTGGATAAAAATACACGTATGAATAATGGATTCTGTTTTTGCTTTGAGTCATATAATATTTTTTTGCGGTTCGAAGATGAGTTTTTGAGAATTCTAGAGCCAGATAGAGAGTTTCTAATTTAGAAATCAGAGCTGTAACTTGCTTCCTCATGCTACAAGTCGTTTAAATCGTTGAGAACAAGCTTCTACCATTTCCTCTTCAAGTGTCAGGAAGAAGCCTGAAAGTCCAATTTTGTTATGCTGACCTTATACTCTTTTTGTGATTTATGGAATCGCTGGTTACAGGGATGAAGGTGCAATTTTTTATTGTAAAAATACTTTAGCTCTCACACTTTCAGCCTTTCAAGCGAACTAGCTGGAATCGAAATCGACGTGTATATAAATATATACGCTCCATTAATGGCAATTACATACTTTCTTAAATATCTGCAATATATTCTTCTAAAAATAATTTTGAGCCAATTATCTGCTCAGCTTTAAGCCAAATAAGACACCAACTACTTTATCTCGGTTTATTCGCTTAAAAACTTTTTCCTACGCATACAAATTATGCTGTTGTCACTCATATGGGATTCTTAACTGTACGCGACTACATAGCAACCGCCTTATTAACATGTTCTCTGGCGTCTGCGCAGCCATTGAACTCACTATCGCGCTGCTTTTGGAGTGGGTATCATTGTTATGGGTATTGCCCAGCTATGAAAATTGAATTTATAACAAGTGCTACTCAAAACACTTATGTATATGTATGTGTATGTAAGAGTGTGTGCGGATGTGTTTAGGTCCGGAAACGAGCTTGGACTTTAGCTGTCGCTTAAAGCATTGCTTGCTCAAGTACTTGCAATCGTTGACGGTCTCCGAAATCCGTTTACAAAACGAATGCAAATACAATATCGGCAAAGGGACAAGTGTACTCGTAATTCCCAGTATTGACGGATATTGGTAATTTGTATATAAAATGCTTGCGGACTATTAAGTACAATAAAATAGATATTTTATTCTCTATTTATTTTTTGATTCTTCAACGTCTGAGTGCCCGTAGCGAATGCAATTAATTTAATTTGTAATCACTTGTGACAAATTCAGCGTGACCGAAATGACAGCTCAAACGTAAAAAAAAAACAAAAAAAAAAACAAAAAAAAAATGTTAACTTCGGCCTTACCAAAGCTATAATACCCTTTATAAATATAAATGTTTTCCATACAAGGACTTTATTTACACCGATCAGTTTGTATAGCAGCTATATGCTATAGTGGTGCGATCTGAACATTTTGTTTGGAGATTGTACCGTTGTCTTGAACAACAATCCATCTTAAGTTTCGTGAACATATCTTGCCAAATAAAAAATTTTTATCATATAATACAAGTAGTGGTCCGATGTCGACAGTTTCGGCAAATAAGCCCTCTTGAGGAGAAAGGAACGCGTGAAAAGTTTCAGATCAGCTAAATCGACTCTTCTTTCTGTTTTGGTGTTACGTTTCTTAATTGGTGTTACAAACTTCGTTGCAAAGATAATATACCTTGTTTAGGGTATACAAATTTAAAATAAATTTAAATTACAACAACAGCTTGGCTACGTTGAATGCTTAGCGATCAATTATTAGGCTGTAAGGTCCAAGCGCGCGCTGTAGTATGCGCAAAGCTCTTGTCTCGTCGCGTAAATGATCCAATCAGTCTAATGTGTTTGACATTGGCTTTTTAACACTAATAAACAATTAATAATGATTTTATACATTTTAGAAGTAATTATTTATCAACCAATTCTTCTTTTAATATTTTTTTTCGTTTTTTTTTTGCAGGACGAGGACATGGGTTTCAGTTCGCGCATGGACTGCTGCGGGCAGTTCGTCAAATACAGCCTGTTCATTTCAAATTTGATAATATTTGTGAGTATAAGCCAAACTTAATTACGCACATAAGCACATTTAATTGGTTTGTTAAATCTTTACGTACACTTAAGCGTACACTTAGCCTTGCTTCAGCTTGCGCTGTGACCTTAATTAGAGCTAATTTTGTGTCGCTTTTTATGAAATATTTCATTTGAGAATTACTTTACACATTTTTCATGACATTTTTACACGCTAATTTTTAAGTGGTCTCCCTCTTTTTTTCCTATCTCTCTTTCCATTTCTCTCTCTTTTTTTAATAGGTCGGTGGCGCAACAGTCTTTACGCTTACACTATGGACGCTCGTGGATCGCAGTTTTATGAATGAGTTGTTGGGCACTAATCTCTTCTCGGGCGCCGTTTACGTCTTACTGGTTACGTCGGTGGCGATTTGTTTGCTCTCATTTTTGGGTTGTGTGGGTGCGGGTAAAGAGGTCAAATGTCTGCTACTGACGGTGAGTATTTGTGATAAATTATTTATTAGAGTAGAAATTATATAAATATAAAAGAACTATCTTGTTTCAAAACCTCCCTCACCAATTTTAAAAAAAATCTGTACTTGTAATATTGTACTCCTTGTTCCGAACGGTCTTTACATCCTTTAGTGATTTTTGACGAAAAGCAGTAAATTCATATTAGAGGAACTTAGGTCCATAGGATAACTAAGAGTAGGTTTTCATTGCTGTTCCACCTTTTCCAAGAGTTAGATTTAGTTTAAGAGTTTCTTATAATTTCCTATGTTATTACTGAAATAAAAACTCTTTTATATGGTTGTTATTATTTGATTGCAGTATTTCATAATTGTGGCGCTAGTGTTTGTGACGATGTTAATCGGCGGCATACTGGGCTATGTGTTTAGGGAACGTGTACAGCAAACGATGAGACAGGTAAGCCACTACAAAAAAACGATAATATTAAAATAACTTCGTATATTAAAATTCGAAGATTACTAATTAATAAATCTTTTTTTCTCACAGGAAATGCGTGCCACTATGGCGCTCTATGGAAGCCGTCGTGATGTCACCTTAGCGTGGGATCAAACGCAAGAACGTCTTCAGTGCTGTGGTGTGGACACCTGGCACGACTGGAATCGCTATGGGCCCGTACCAGAATCTTGTTGTCAGGAATTATTCGGTGGACAGCGCAAAGACTGCAGCATCTTTCCAACAATAACAAATCTCTATAGTCAGGGCTGTCTGTATGTGACGACAAATTTCATACGCGATCATGCGGCCTTAATTGGCGGCACTGCCATAGCAGTGGCCATATTAATGGTATGCAATTGTGTTATAGATACAATTTTGATTAAGAAAAACTTTTATAATCATTTATGCTCAATTTCTATTACAGATATTTGGCATGATATTCTCATGTCTGCTATTTAATATGATTGAATAGTACGCTGGACATTGAGGAGGCGTCATGTCGCGAAATAAGCTAAAAAAAATGGTGGAAGTTGCAGAATTATTAGAAGAGCAAACAAATACAACTGATTAGTAACAAAAAAGCGCTTACAATCACGCACACAAACACACACATTCATACACTATAACACAAATTCATAGAAATATGCCAACACATACACAAATCCAAACACTCACACTTACTTAAAAACTTACACACGTCCAACAAATCCAACAAAAAAAAGTTGGCAATAATTAAAAAAAAAACCGTATAAATTATGCTCATAATAAAATCAAATAAAACTTTTTGGCTTAACGCCTGAAAGTATGCCACTAAACTGTTCCAACGCGCTAAACATCCATGTTAAATTCGAAAAAGTAAACAATATTAGTATGTCGTCCCATTTATCTCACAGTCCCATTAATTATAAAATTATTTTAAGCAAATTTTGGTTTTAAATTTAATATTGCTCATAAAAATTTTTGCGTTACGCAACGCTGCTGTATCAAAAAAAGTATTATTTTCGAATTTGTAAGTGCATAATAAATACATATATGTATACTTGTATAATATTTGTAATGTTGTAAGACATTGCATTAATTTTTAAAATATTCTATGTATAAATATTTACTTTAAACCATATAATATATGTATTTGAACAGCTGGCCGCCTAAAGGTATGCTACAAAGATTTTTGCTAATTATAAAATATGTTTCAAACCAAAAGCGTGCTTTGTTGTAATTTAAAAAATCACTCACATACTTTTAGACAGTTAATTTCTCTTAAGGAGCCAGCTGTTGCATACAATCTTCAGCTTAAATACATAAATATACAAGCGATTAGTTTTATTTTTTAGTTTTACTTAGTTTCATTACAAAATATTTTCGTTAAAATCTGAGTGTTTTCCAGAAGCAATACATTAATAGCTAATACTAGTTTATTAATGACATAAAAAAATGAAATTGCAATTCATGCAGTTACATATAATTTAGTTGCTAAGTCTATATAATTACCTGTACACCGTAATTAAGCAATACCTTATTCATTATTATGTAAGACTTCAATATCGAATATTTCTTCTTGCATATATCGTCCGTTATTTTAGCATATCGTAATTATAAACATGTATCAATATTTCTGTTTTGTAAAAAATATTTTTTTTTCATTGTATGTATGTATTTAACTGTAACTTGTAATTACTTTATAAATGCATGTGCAGCAATACCGAAATTTATTGGTTGAAATACAAGTCAAATATATTATTGTTAAATAACATAACTGCAGTCAAAATTGTTTGAAAATTTGAGGAAGAACAGGAAAAAACGTAAGCATCGAATGCACCGAAGCTATGGCAGCTATATGCTATAGTGGTCTGATCTGAAAAATTTCTTCAGATATTTTAGCGTTAGCTTGGAGAATAATTCATGCCAAATTTCTTGATACTTTGTCAAATTTTGATTTTGATCGTTGAATTTGTATGGCAGCTATAAGCTATAAGCAATCCGATATCAATGGTTCCGACAAATGAGCAGTTTCTTGAGAAGCAAAGGACGTGTGCACGGTTTCAGATCGTTATTCAAAAACTGAGGGACTCGGTCGGTACAGACAGACAGACAGACGGGCATGGCTAAATCAGATTTTTGTGAGGAAAAACATGCGTATATTATATTTAACTCTTGCAGCCAAATTCTTGATTCACCATATAAAAATTTATACTCATTACATTAGAATATCGTTAATTCTACAAAATTACCTACAATCAAAGTTGCTGCTATGTACGATCGTCTACGCTGCTGCTCAAACCAATTCAGAGTCGAGGAAGTAAGTGGTTGAAAGGCGAATGGGACTGTTACATAATTATGCTCGTTCCACTTTTAGCCGGTAATATGTTTCCACCATAAGTGATCAGCCTAAGTATATAAATTTACTGCGCTGTAGCGAATATATCGCTAGTTACATTTTTGCGGCCACACACTCCACATTGACCGTCACCACATCACCATCGCTTAAATTCTATAGAACCAAATACGTTCAAATGATCTAGATCCAAATGAATCTAGCTTCGACTAAGCCCACGTCCTTGTATAGTGACTTTATCGATTCCAAACTTCCTTCTTTACATTGTTCAAGATAATTTGTGCTTCTCGACAGCCGTCTCCTCGGTCCTACGTTCCATTTCAGAGGTCGGAGGTTCTTTCACCAAGTTGAAATTTGATAAACATCGGTAGTCGACAATTTCGACGAAGTTCTCCTAACACTTCGAGCTTGACAATCTATTGACTTACTTTGGCAGCTATTGGTCGCAATGGCTGACTAAGATTTGTCAGAAAACTGAACTCAAGCCATCGGCCGTATAGTAAGCTTTCGCTTTTGCGTAATTTTCACAGCGACCGGTTCTACGTAACCGGAATTGACTCGGGTCTGTCCAAGGACTGTTATTTCGATGATATCGCCCTGTTTGAAGAGACCATAACCTTAGGAACTTTGATATTTTCTTAAAATATTACAGATATGACCTCGATTGCCTTTCAATTTTGAGTATTGGCTGAAGTATACCTTTTCTACATTACTTGATTTATAGGTAAAAATTGGAAGTTGGATCTCATGAAACATGTGTTGAAAGAGCTATAAAAATGGATAGCCGCTTTTAGAAAATATTATAATTAAAAACTAAAATTGGACGTATAATTCTGGATCCCGATCTTAAAAACTTTAAAATATATATTATATATATATATATATAAATAGATATTATATAAATATATATTATATAGATATATATAAATATTAGGTTTTTAATGCCTAAAAAATCAACCCTGTATTGTTATTTAATTTCGGCACTGACAGACAACTTCATAGCGCGCTGCCGTCTAACGGCTCCAACCGTGCGCGCCCACACATTCTAGCATAACGGCTCGCACTGCACTCACATTTAGTTAATAATACTGTGTATCAACGTTTTCTTGTCAAATGTGTTAAATTAAATTAATTAAGAAGCTTTTTATATAAAAAATTTATTTCCTAATAACAACAATGGAAGACTGCCAAACACCCACGCTGGCACAGGTGATGGAGTTCAAGTACGAACTCACACCGACAATGGTCTTTGACCCCAGCCGACTGCATGATGCGCAAAATCTAATTGTTAATCGCATAAATGTGCGCTGCTTTACGCCGACAATGAGGAATTTCCAATCGCCCGGACTATCGCCGATCAACGAATGTGAGCAGACGCTGCTCGGTGGTGTTGCCGTTGGTGTCGCCGCCAATATGGAGAGTCTGCAGAAGACACGGGCATTGACGGCTGCTGTGAAGGAGGAATATTTCAAAGTGCCGCTTAATAAAACGAAAAATGTACAACAAAAGCAAACATTGGCGATGCAGCAACAACAGCAAAAACAACAAATGCCACACAATTTCGCTTGTCATACACATTTTGTCAGCGATTCACCGCAGGTCTTTACGCTGAATTCCACGACCAATTCAGAAGTCGATTTTAGCATCGACGACAACACGAGCCCCGATAGTTCAGCTATACTTGGTTGCGCCAATAACAACAATAGCAATAATGATAATATTACGGTTAGTTTAAATAGCAGCAACAATGTCACATTTACCAACAGTCTAAGTAATTACTTCAACAATAATAAGATCACCAGCAATGCATCGAAAAATGTCAGCAATACAAATCTGCTGGATCGCACTATGAATGTGTCGACGCTGCTGCGCAGTGTTGGTCTCGAGCAGTATATAGATGGCTTTGAGGAGCAAAATATGGACTTGGAGCAGTTTTTGAATCTACGCGCTGAGGATATTCCGCGTTTGGGCGTGCACATAATGGAGCATCAGAAGATACTCTTAGATTTACTAAACGAGTTGAATGGTGTTTGATTCGTCCTATTTTGAATAATTCCTAATTTTTTAATGTGGTCTTTATATAACGGTGATTTTGTAAATGTAATTGTCTTTGCTTGGCAGTCATCTATTCTAAGTTTTTAATAAAATTATCTTTGATTTCTATGAAATTACTGGGTTCAGTAATGTATTATTGTAGGCGGGGGAGAGAGGTGAGTGCAGCGGACTCCGCAAGTTGTCTAGGGACTATGAGTAAGATGGACACCAGTTGGCACCATTAATTGGCTCAGGGTTTCAACCGCTGACTGAAATTTTAAAAACTTACCACTTCCTACTGCTCCTTTTTTTCTCATACTATGCTCTCTCAGTGCTCGGAATAAGGCTAAATTTATTATATTGAGCAAACAAGACCATTCCTTGTAATAAATGAACGTAACGCCTAAACAAAGGTTCTCCGAAATATACCAGTTGTTCGGAAGTGGGTTTGGCAGCATCCATTGGTTATCACCATATATAAGTAAGCTTTAAATAGGAGGAGGAAAAATACCATATTTTTAAAACCTCCCGAATCAATGAAGATAATGAATTTTGTGCATATTTTTGTTGCGTTCGTTCATGGCATTTATTGAAATCAACAGAATTTCTTATGTCGCTGAAAAATTACTTCCTGACTCTTAAATATATATATATATTACTTAAGCTTCTTGCTATATAACCTACTGCTTATAATAATCTCATTAAAACCGGATCAGTTAAGGTTGCTGCCTTTAATCCGCTAAAAATAAGGGTCTTACAAAGGTTGGTGCGGTAACTTAACTCCAAATCCTACCTGTGGTTCTTCTTGGATATTTGCAGCAAATGGGATTTTACTTTTACTTGTGATTAGTTCTAGAGATTCACGTTACGTTAAGTTTATATAAGGTCGACATTTTATTCATCATCATCAAGTAAAAAACCACATAAGTAATATATTTAATGATATTATTTTAAATTAAATTTTATTGTAAACTTACTACAAATGGCAAGATCTAAATAACTTACAAAATATAAAAAAAGTACTTCTTATAAAATTCCTTATCGTTAGTAATTAAGTGTTAATTAAATGCATTTGAAATTATCGTACGGTGTTTTAGAGCTTTGCAGATATGCCACGCCAAGCAAGCGTTATAACATTCAACACCGTCGTATACCCAGCTCCTTTAAAACCAAAATCCAAGCGAGAATTGGCTGCCGATGTCTCCGCCCACCATTCCCAGACGCCACCATGCAAAGCTGGATCACAGCGTGGATCACTATATGTATTCTGTGCGCTCGCCACCGCGCCTTGTCTAAATTGCTCCACTTCTTGAGCCAGCAGCTGTACCTGTAGTGGATAGAGTTTAGCCAGATTGTAACGTTCACAAGGATCCTTTTCGATATCAAAGAAGCATGGTTCTAACAGCGGTTCGCAACGATAGACTTCTTGTGTATAGTCCTCATTGTTGTTGGGACAGTTGTGAGTGGCTTGAGCGCGTAAACTTTCGACTTGCTCTACGCTGAGTGCTTCACTGCCGAGCACGTGTTGTACCTCTGAGGAGAGCACCTGTTGTGCATAATATGGCGCGCTGGGATCTTGTTCGACGGCTGGTAAATCGCCCAACCAGCCATCGTATTGACCATCAAAGCTGGTGCCATTCACATACTTCAGCGCGCCGCGTGTGTAAGCGCTGTAGCCGACACTGTCATCCAGCACGTGTATGAGGCGTCGCGGTTGTGGCGCACCATTTTCACTGAGCACACGCCATACATTCACACCATCCAATTGTAGCTTGGATGGTAGTGTTATGCCGGCTGCGCTGGCTAATGTGGGCAGCCAATCGATTGCATGTACAACTTGATTGGAAACGTAACGTTGTTGTTGCAACAGTGGACTCCAGATGAGTCCGGCCGAGCGCAGCCCACCTTCCCATGGTGATTCCTTTTGCTGTGCGTGCAAAATAGTGAGAGGTGCCATAATTGTTTTAAATTGTGCTGTATAATATTTCCCAATTTGATATATGAGTACTTACGCCACGGAAAGGATAATTGGAGCCCGCATTGGAGTGTATGCCCACGGTTGGTGCACCATTGTCGGAGTATAGCAACACTATTGAGTTGTTCAGCACACCCTTGTTCGAGAGCGCGCGCATCACGCGACCAACACTGTCGTCCAGGCGTGAGATCATACCTATGAGTAAAATTGTCGAATTGTTAATGAAAAGCAAACAACTAAAAGAGTGACAATGTTCACTGATTAAGATGAAGTCATTGTTTTTGGAAAATTAGTTTCACGTTTTTCAAATCGGTTTTCGATCAAGTCAATTCATTTAATAAGTACGAATTTCAATGTACATTGCTGGAACTTGGGTACTTGTATTTATCTATAGTTGCTGCGCGGAATTTTAGTGCACCTTTGCAATTTTCTGGATAGCTAGAAGACATTGTGTGCACAGTGTGGAGGATATTCTCTTTTTTGCCTATCGAGTATTTTATTTTAGTTTTATTTGACTTTTCCGAAAAATGTTTTAGTAGAAATTTACAGACAGTCTCCTTTAATATATTGAAATATATTTTGTTTATATAAACTGTCTTGGACTTTAGAAAGTAGAAGTCTTTCGAATTGAACAAGCAGTTGGCATAAAACAAGTAGAGAGGCATAATCAAATGGAAAAAAAATAATAGGCAGAGGTATCGACATAATCTCTTATATCAAATTGAACTCGAAAACTTGGTCGTTGCTTTCACGTGTAAATTTTTTGCCAAGAGAGCAGAGCGTAGGAATAACGAGCAGAGAAGTGATGAACTCAAGACGGCCGTGATACAGTGCGTTCAAAAAATAACATTCTAATTTAGGAGATCAATTTGCCGGGAACTGTTATTTTTTTTTGTTTTGCAAACTAACACAAAAATGATTGCTCAGTATAAGAAACGTTTCGAATCAACTTTACTTACGAAGTAAGTCTTAAATGGTATGATTTGTATATTTGTGTAGAGGTGGTCTGAGCATTATAGAGAAACTGGAAACCTGATAAGCCAGGAAGAGGGTGGAGTAAATTGACATCTAAAAATGAGGACAAAGCTTTAATTCTCCTTTCTGAGAAGAAACCACAGCTAAAAGAAGCTAAACAAATTTTGTTTAAAAAGGGATGAGAAATATCTGTCAATACAATACGGGACAGACTTCAAAGATCTGGTATCAAACACTGCAGTACTGTAATCCAACCCCTACTTTAAAAAAAAAAAACACTTTGAAAACAAGTTGCATTGGGCGCAGGAAAACATCAACCGTAGTGGGAACAATGTAATATTTACGGATGAGTCAACTTTAGTATCTTGCTCTTTGTCAGTATGAAGCGCATCTACCGCTCATTTAATTGCTCACATACTCGTGCATTGCGCCACCCACCTGCATATTTGCGCCTCTTCGTGTCACTGATGTGCGAAAATTTATCCACCTCCTCTTCCGGCGCCTGCATCGGATTATTCTCATTACCGGTGTGTACGGCTAAGTGGCTCATTAGCAGGAACAAAGGCTTTGCCGCCGCATCATGTTGGTAGATAACACGTTCCGCTTCCTGAGTGAAAACATCGGTAGCATAAAGACCATCCGCCTCCGGCCATGGCGACAAGTCGCGACGAAAATCCAAACCTACCGAATAATTGCGATCCTAAAAGGCATTGAAAAGGAAATCAAAATGCAAAATCATTGTAAGCATATAAAATTAAATATTAAATTTATAAAGCGATGCATTTGCTTGCACGCACCAGCATATGCATCGTGTGATTGTAGTAGTCAATGTAGCCCGAGTAGTAGCCGAAATGATGATCGAAACCACGCATTGTGGGCGTCAGTTCTTTGCGCCAGAAACCCAAATGCCATTTACCAATTAAATTTGTTGCATAACCGTTATCGCGCAGTATTTCAGGCAGCAGGTGCTCTTGCAGTGGCAGTCCCCATGGTTGATCGTTAATGATGACGGATTGTTGCATACCTAAAGGCGTACATGTTGTTTGTACGTTGGAGAAGAAAATGAAAAGAATAGAAAATTGGCACAAATATACATACATATAGAGTATATAATCTGTTATACTTAAATGTGGGCCGCACACAATGAAGTTGTTAATGCATTTATGCTACAAAAATTCACTTCACTTAATTTGCGCTTAATTGAGCATATTTTGTGAGCGCTTTAGTTAAGCCTCTACAATTAATCCTTTTGCCACCAACAACCTCATTCTACGGCGCATATAATACATATTCATGTGCGCTCATAAATATACATACACGCCTTCCTGAATATTGTTATCGTATTACACACCTGTGTGTATTGGGTATTTGCCAGTGAGCAGCGTCGCGCGCGAGGGTGTACAGAGATTTGGCACATAGTGTCGATTCAGTATGATGCCGTTGTAGGCGAGTGCATCAATATTCGGTGTTAATATCTGATTCGAGCCGTGAAAGCTGACATCGTTAAAGCCCTGCAAAGAGTAAGGAAAATATGTGAGTAAGCGGCAGAGTGGGTGTGCACGGCGTATGAGTGATGCGTGTGTGGGGAACTTTTTGTACGGAGAAATCAATACTTTTTATTAGTTTTCTTGGCTAAAGGCTGGTTTGAGTGGGACATCGATATGTTTGCAGCTTACTAATGACGTGGAAGAAGCTCTATACATGTGTTGTAATCCTTAACAATTAATGGATTTACTGAAATTTTTTTTAAGAGCATACTTTATCGCTTTTACTACTTAAAGTGCATTTTCTGTTGAGACTTAGAGACTATTTTTGAAGCGCAGTAAAAATCCTACAAAACTATGAGTTTTTCAATTTAAAACAATTCGTTTTTATTGCGTTATAAAATTCCCAAAAAAAAAAAATTTGCCCAAAAATAATAAAACTTAGTAACTGGAAAAGAGAATAAAATTTTCCTATTTGATAATAAGAAAAAAATATATAAAACTGCAAGGCGGAGCACCCTGCTACAATTAAGCCTATACTTCGAGATACTTTCTTAGTGATGTCTATAAACCTATTTTTCATAGTACCAAGCGAAAAAAGAATACTTGGCTTTTTTTACACACTAATATATATATATATATATATAAAACTTCTGTTGCAAACATAAATACAATTTTTTTTTCGAAACAAACGTGAGAACAATTAAAATAAATAAAAAACTCGAAAATTAAAATTCTAGCATTTCTTAATAAATCAAATATATATATTGTTTTTCAAAAATACAAAAGTAAAAACTTTTGCTTTCAGTAGTCGTTTTTAATAAATTAAAAGTTTATCATCGAAAAATTCAGGTTGAAAAAAAAATTAAATATATTTAGCAATAAATTTTTGTATTATTTTTTACTTTTGACATTTTTACTAAAATACATTATTTTTAATTAAATGATAAAATATAAAAATAAATTAAAAAAATGAATGCACTTTGAAGTTATTAAATTCAAATTCAGTTCTCCCTTACAGTTTTCTTAGCGCACAATAAGCTTATTTTCTCACTAGTGTGGTGAATAAATACAGTGGGTAAATTAGTGTGTAAAACTCACCATATCATCAATTAAAATGATTATTATGTTTGGCTTTGATTTGTTTTGTGGCTGACTTTGCTGCTTCTGCTCTTGTTGCTCTTGTGGCGTGGGTTGTGTTGCCTGTTGCTGTTGTTTTGTAGCCGCTGTTTCCGTGTTAATTGTCGTCACTGCGGCCACGTGATGTTGACGGTTGAGCGATGCCGGCAACAAAAGGAACAACAACAAAAAATAAAGGGCAATGCAGCTGAATTGGCGGTCAACTGGGTGACTTTGCATTTTGTATTTTTGCTTTTCGCTTTGCTTTTGTAGGCTTACAGCTGTGTTTTACTGTGTGTTTTCACTGGAAGACAAAAAATAGTTGCTGGAATGTCAGTTTTTTTGTACTGAAGAAATTAAAAGTATGAAAAAAAGAATACTCTTTTACATATTGATTTTACATTAATGATTTTTCTCAAGAATTGAATTAAGCGTTACTAGCAATTGAAGTAAGTTTAAAATGCGATTTTAATTGGGTTGGCAAAAATATGTATTGTAACGTCAGTATAACTACTTATAGTATCTCCCCTAGTGATGAACATGCAAATTTATATTTATATCATAACTAACGTTTAGTCACTTGATTACTTTTAATTTCCATAATACATTTCACCCATGTTTCTTTTATCTAAATTTTTACTATATAAAGAGCCATAAATTTCTTATCAGCAGTTATAATTTTGGTAATTGTCAAGTACAGTGATCAGCCTACTTAAACTCCGAATTGACGACGCATGTCAATTTGGTTTGTTCAATTTAAAAAGATTTTTATTTAATTTATTTGTTCACTCTTTTGAGTCTACTAAATGTGGAATTTGTGTTCATGAAATTACGCATAAAACTATAAACTGCATGATAACGCAACATAATTTCATAAACGCTACAAAAACCCCACATATAATCATCTGAACATACTGTATATCTCACACATATATGAATACCTGCACACTTCGAAAGTACTCGCGGAGTTAGTTGGCTAATGCGTGAATTTAATCGTAAACTCTATTATAAAAATAACTAAATTTTGCGGGTTAATTATGTGAAATTTTATCACTTTTAATTGCTTTAGTTTAAGTTATGTCATTTCATATTCGAAATAAAACTGGATACTAGTGGGACACTTTCGTAATTTTTTACTTGATTAAAGCGATATTTCATAAATCCCGGTAACTTGAGTCAGTGAATTACAACATAGTAACCGAAACGGAATATACTCGTATAGATCAACTTCTATTTTATATTAGTTTTAATAAGAAATTGAATGTGTTTACACCTTAAGTTTTTTCAAGCTAAGCCTTAATTTAGACAATTAACACATCGAAAATGGTATGTTTAACAATTTATCAAATTGAAGGTTTGTCCAAAATATCTATTACCTTTTCAAACCCCTTCTTAGATATTTAGATATACAGCGGTCAGGTAATGATCAAAAGAATAAGATTTTCTAAACAAATTTCGACTTTTTAAGCCACTCTGAAGTGAAAATTTTGTTACAAAAAAACGACGCCCATTTGTTAAAAAAACAAAAACTCGACCAGTCCTTCGATCAATACGCATCTATTGTAATTATACATTTTTGAATTTTGGTTTTTGAATTTGAGATAGTTTTAAGCGGAAACATCTTCCTCAACGCCAAACAACATTTTCGGAGAACTTCCAGTAGATCGGCTAGGAGAGTAAGGGAATCCAAAATTTTTCAGAATTAAGCAGCGATTATTAAAGTATATTAATTTCTGTAAGTTTACATTATTATTTTTTAATTATAAAATAAAATACATTTCCCAAGAAATAAATTCAAGATACTATTTAAATAAATCTTCCAGTGATATCAAATACATTTTTTTTACTTCAATTTCAGTTTTTGAAAATGAGGAAAGTTGGAAGGAAAATATATAATTTAATATGGTTGAGTATTCTGTGCTGCGTACATATCTGGTTAGCTGGGTATATTCCCATTTATCCTTCAATTTATGTGCGGGATATTCTACATGGAACTGGAAAAACCCGAGTCGCTTTTTGTTGATGTTTAACGATTCCCAATGAAATATTTCGATAATATTCAATAAAACCAATTACTCTGTGGTAAAAGTCCAGCTTGATATAGATAGTGTTCTATTTGAAACTATTGTAAACCTTGCCTTTATTAATTTATATGCCACCAAAAAGGTTTTCTTTTGTAAATTTATAAAGTTTTAAGTAAAATTTAACTTTAAACCATAATATTGCAAGTTAATTAAAAGTAACAATATATTTTTCACTTTAATCTCAAATATAGTACGACAGCTTAGCGTGAAGCTTATGTTCGAACTGTACGCATAAACAGCTAGATGGAACTACTAGCTAAATAGTAAAAATATTTTATGTATTAAAAAAATATATTATTCAATAGCAAAGCAAGCTTATAATTCTAAAATCGTGATAAAGCCGATTTGTCTTCAATTTTTTCTAAATAAATTGCTTTCATGCACAGCAAATACGTGTACTTAAGGCTCGGGCACTTAAGTAAATAAGGCGTTTAGCATTAAGTTCATATTGTTTTATTATCTTTTTAATATCAATTAAACGAGTAGAATGAAAAACGCTACAAATGAAATATACTAAACGCCATGAGAAATTTAAAAACAATCAATTCGTGACGCAGTCAATCACGATAAATGTGACGAGTACTCGTATTTAGACAAGTGTGGACCCATTACAGTAATACACCCATTGTATGTATTACTGACCTTGAATCTGTAACAGCTGTATGCCTTGTGCAAGTAACCCAAATGTGGGTGGCAGGTGATCGCATGTACCTTTATATAAATACGTTTATGTATAAATAGATTGCATGATCGATAGGCATGCGCATGGTAGGCAGTGAATACACGAGTCCAGCAGGTTAAATAAATGTTGGGATAAAAGCGGTAACTTATACCTATGACTATTTATATCTCAATATACTTTTAACTAGTATACAAAGCATGACTAGTCCATTCATTACTGTTCTTAGTTTTAAAAAATACGTAAAAAAATGTATATTTCTGACAAGCCTGTTGAAGTTACGAAAGAAAAACATAACAGAGATGTAAAAATTCTTTTGTAATTCCTTGGAAAATTACCAAGCCACAAGAAGACTGGTAGGGACTGGTCTAGTGCTGCTAGTTGAGCAAGCACACAATACAGTTAGCAGTTCAAGGTTAAGCGTAATTACGGCTGAAGAACATTAAGCAGCGCTTGCTTAAAGTCTGCGGCTAGTGGCAGAGTCCAGCTAAGGCTGACGAAGCGGCAATGAAGTGAAAGTGAACTGAGTCATAAAAAGGGTACATATAAGCTTCCGTACCATGCAAGAATTAACCATTTACTTTTGTTTTCATATTCTGAATGTGTTATTATCAATTTATTGCTACATATTGTTGTAGCAGTCGTAACCTGTCGTGAGCTGCTTAGTGTTTAATTGATCGAGTCTGTAGCCTGTATTGTGTTTTGGGCATATATTATTGCTGATATATTATTAAGTTATAATATTTGCTGAGGTTTAGTCTTAAAAATTAAGGATGTTATAATATTTTGTTATGAGTAAAGGATTTTTCATAAGTCACTTGTTTTCAGTTTGTATTAGTATCTTCTATGTGCTTATTGTGAACTATTTTTATAGGCGCGTTTAATACTTGGTTACACTAGAAGGTTTAGTGTAAGTTACAGTTACTCAAAGAAGAAAGTTTAAAAGCTTTTCCGCTGTTGATAGAAATTTATGCAATGTGAGGTTTTTCAAAGCTCATAAAGTGCTTATATATGTATATACATATATATTAGGGTGGAGTGAAAATTTTATTTTTTGTTTTTGGAATAGCATAATTTTGAAGAAAAAGTTTTTTTGTTCTTTCAAAAAAAGTCTTAAATGACCACATGCTTTCCTTAAGCGTTAAAATAAATTATGAGTCAAAAACTGTCAAAATCGGTATATTTTATATAAACGTGAAGGGTTTAAAGCAAAAATAATTTTTTTTGTTGTCGAAAAAAAATTTTAACTCGAAATTTACTTAAAAACTGAGTGCGCCGCTAGGTGTTAAAAAAAATTTTTTTTGTCCAAAAATTTTCTTTTTTTATAATATACAGATTTTACCCCCAGGCTAAGCAAAAACAGAAATTTTTTTTTCGCTCCACCCTAATGTATATATGCTCAGAGATTCTAGATGGAACACAGGAACTTAATAAACAAAATGTAATCCAGTTTAGTTAATGCTAGGAACTTGATTTGTCTCCAGGAACGACCAGTTTCTTGCAACTCTGCTTCAATTTGTCGCCTCCACGTATTGGCTGGTCTCGTCTGCTGTACCCTTGGGTTCCTTTGAGGATTCCAATGCTATTTTTGTGACGTCGTCTTGGAGCTTAGAAACGTGTGTTCGTTTCCTTTGCTTTGCTCTAACTTAACAAAAAAAAAATACTCTATGTAGACTGAATTTTTAAAATACCAGTTTGAGGCACATTTTGTTATTTGGATAAAAATTTGGGTAACAAACTGATTTTTTAATTAGTGTATATATTTTGATGTATGTGTAGTTACAGTTAAGCCGACATCACGTTCGAAAAATTGTTCGAGCGTAAAAATTATTGTCAAATACTAAATAAGTATTATTTTTGATGTATAAACTATTGTATTTCCGAGCACGCGCATTAGATTAACATGTTCGAATTCAAATCAGTCGAGTGTTTGAATAAATTAAAAAAATTATTATTAATATAAGCTTGTTTTGCAGCAAGTGCTCCGATAACAGTGCATCACTTCAATAAAATATTTCCAAAAAAAAAACTTTAACATTTCTTTAAACACTATAAACAATTTTAAAAAATCAGCAACTTAAAAACAAGTAAAAAAAAAAATTTTTTTTTGGTTCTGCACCTTCACAATTTTCCTAGTTCACAGTTCAGATTTAATTTGCATTAATTTCAATTTCATTTGCACTGTACCACTGTTGACGACTGATCCTGACTACTTCAACTCCTCGCGACGACTGAAATGAATTCCGAGGCGGACTGGCGAAGTGCTACAATGTCGATCAAATTTTAACTGTTTTAGTCGTACCACCAGCCAATAACCAGTCAACCTGCTCATATGTGTCCACTCGCAGCGCTGACAACGCGCGGCGCAGCGTAAACAAACAATATAAAAGCCAACGATCACTTTGACGCTTCGGCTAATACTAACACATTGCTTCGTTATCATTCTGACTGTTATTTACGCTGCAGTAATTGACTGTAGAAATGTGGAAGACGCTGAACTGGCATCGATAGGCTCTAGCTTTAGACTAGTACAAAAGTGGCTAAAGTTTTACTAGTTACTACATTTGGTTAGAAATTAGTAATAACAAGCTTATTTCTAGCCTAACTTAACGGTAGTTTATAAGTCTGAAAGTTAATCATGCGTGAAAATTAGTCTAAGACCTTTCTTATTAGCTGTTTTCACATACCAAGCCGAACAGGGTTAGATCTTCGAAATAATAATGTAGAACTGATTGTTATGGAAATTTCATAACCTTGTATGGTATGCTCAGTTGAGTTAAGTCCTAATTTATTCTATTAAGTCGAGGAGAATACAGACCTTTTTTTACCAAAGTCGCACAGAAATTACTTTCTGGAATTTATCGGCAAATGATCTGTGATTTACCCTGTGTAAGCCCATAAAATAAATGAATAATTCACTCATAAAGCCACAAAGAAAAGCCCTCAAACCTTTAATCACATTTATGCTGAATGTCTGGTTGTTAAAGAAGCTGGAATTTCCATGAATAAGCTTTGGTTCATTCGGTGAACTCGAATATATTTTATTTTCGGTTCTCTTAGTACTTTGATCGTTACCCTTGGTGAAGACACCCTAAATGTAGACTTCATGTTATTGCTAACGAATCTTACATTATGAAAAATGAAAAAGATGACCTACAAATAGGCGAGATATATAAGTAAATTTCTATCAAAGATACACACCCTTTACATAAGTGATAATAAAAAAACTAGAATTGTCTGTTAATAATAATGAAAATACGCATATATTTTTTAAATGTAATAAATTAAAAGATTGGAAAACTTTCCGTACAAATACAATTTTATAGCCTTATAAGCGCTTAAAAAACAATTCAACACTAGGTAATGTATTTGTTCAAAACTTGTAAATTTGTTACGACGCTGTTGATTGTATGGTATATATGTATATGCATGGTAAGTAACTGCTTTAACTAACCGATCTCTATAAAACAATAACCGCGGAGAAAAGTCTCACATACTAGCATTGTTAATGTATTCGTATGTGTCGTTGTATTGGTGAGAGCAAATAGCAGCGACAAGCTTCATTCAACAAGCCTCAATGAGCACATTGACAACTACGCAGCCGCTAACAAAAGCGTCGACTTCGACTGCAGCGACAAAACGCTTATCAAAGCTGACTTTGGTAGATGGCTATGCAAATCTCAGCTGATTTAAATTTGTGTGTGTTAGTACGGATATATATACAAATATGCATGTATAAGAGAATGAAAAAATTTATAGTATAAATATACATATATTTCTAGCGTATTGAGGTGGGTTATGATTGCTTCTTTTCTGTATTTAGGATTCTTGGAAATATAAAATGCATTCGAAGTTCGCTTTTATACCCGGAACAGGGTATATTACGTTTGCCACGAAGTTTGTAAGCGTCAGAAGGAAAGGTCGGAGACCATAAGGTGACTGATTTAGCCATGTTCGTCTGACTGTCTGTATATACGTGAACTAGTCCCTCAGTATTTGAATTATTAATCTGAATTTTTGCACACGTTTTTTTTCTACCCTGAAATAGATTTGCCGGAACATCGGATATCGGACCACTATAGCATATAGCTGCCATGCAAACTGAACGATCGGAATAAATTGCTTGTATGAAAACCTCTCTTCATTTGACGAAATACCTTCACGAAATTTAGCATAGGTTATTGCCTAAAACAATGATGCAATCTCTGAAAAAAGTGTTCTGATTGGACCACTATGGCATATAGCTGCCATACAAGCTGACCGATAAAAATCAAGTTCTTGTAAGAAAACTAGAACCTGTGAAGAGTATTATAGCTTCGGTGCAGTCGAAGTTAACGTTTTTTTGTTTTAATCTCTTATTTTGTGACTGTAACTTAGGTTATGGCTGTAATGAAAAAAATTTAAAAACAAAAACTTCTCGCAGATTAAACATAAATTCGAGTGCGTTATATAGACCCGAAAGTCGTGGGAAAAGCTGACCGTCATGAAAAGTTTACTCCAATTGATGAACAGCACATTTTAGTACCGTAGTGGTTATCTCAGTTAATCTAAAGATTTCAATGTAAGGCTTGCAGCTTTCCAATTGTTTCTTTAAAAAAAATTGTTATGAGCAAAAATTTAAATTTATTGTAGAGGGTTCTAAAATCTTGGAAAATCGGAGACTTAAATTTCAGAAGAATTATTCAAAATCTTGCAACACCTAAAGGCATTTTGTAAATACCAAATAAAATTTGACCTGGACTGACAAGAAAACTACATTTACACGAATTTCAACACAAAGCTTTATTATCGCCTTCAAATCAATTTCTCATACACATGCTATAAGACTAGGCTGGGATGACCTTCACTGCCCTCAACGAATTTTGATTTTTACGATTGTTGGACCGTTTCGGCGGCATATTCATAAAACCACGTCGCGTTATCAGTAATAATGCATTTGATAAATGTATACTCTCAGCCACGTTATCAAGCATCTCTCTTGCGCTCTCATTTTTTTAAATATTCATGTCCTTTGGTAGGAGTGCTTTGCGTCGATTTTTGAGAGATGTTCAGATCTTCTGCAACCTCTTTGTTTCCAACACGATGATTTACATGCACTTTTTCTATAACTTTTTCGATGTTATCGTCTTCAAAAGTGGTGTTTGGACGACTCGCATGAGGGATGTTTTCGATGACTTCATGACCTTTATTGAATACTTTGTATTACTTAAATATATATTTTTTTTGGATAAAGTAGACTCCTTAAAACACTTCTGCAACATTTTCAAGGTTTCGGTAGCCGTGATTTCTGTGGGAACACAAAACTTCAAGCAAACACGTTGTTCAAATTTTTTCGATGGTAAAAATCGCCAGACAAACTTTTCGCGTGGTAAACGAACAGCTGTTAAACGCCGACCAATTGAAATATGGAGATCAAACTTTTTGAAAATAAAAACTAAGCGCCAATTTTCAGTATACTTAGTGCAACATGCATTTGCATTGCAATTAATAATTTGGTTGTAAATATTTGATATTAATTCATGTGCTCATTTAATCGTATATTTAAACAAGTATTTTAATAAATTTCTTAGTTCTATAAATATATATTATATGTGTTTATTTGAGTATAGACCTGACTTGTATTTTGATATACAGACAATATACATATGAAGCACATTCGAGCGGAAACTCAGCTTAATAATATAGTATATGCTCATGTAAGAGTGCATCTAATATATAAAATCGTATTTAATTGAAAGTAATTAAATATATTTGCAAGTGAATTTAATTAGCCGATTTATTTAACTTATTAAATACGAGTAGGCATTATTATTGAACTTTTTTTTGGACTAAGCAAATTGTCTGTGTGTTAAATATAGAACTAGCAAAACTGCAAAATAAGTAAGAAAATCCAGTTTGGGTTTTAAATACGCGTAAAATCCCAAAGTAATGGTAATCGACAAGTTTTTGAATTGAAACTTAAGCTGTGACGTCACATCACTTGTTTGCGCTTAAACGCTTTTCAATGTCAACTTCGGGCTTTTCCTCTTTCAGTTCACTGTAGTTGTGACAATTGCGGAGTAGAAAACAGCTGATTATGAAGTTTCTTGGTATAAATTCAAAAAGTATACTGATTAGTTACATAATAATTTTTTTGCCACTTAGTGTGTGTACATTGTTTAGTGTTTACATTTTGATGTAAAAAAAGACAACATTCAACTTCAATAAATAATTAAAATATTTATCGAATTTCAAATCGAAATTATAGCAGCGAAATGCATTTTCCAATGTCGAGGCCTCTTTTTCATATTTTAGGCAGAAAATGTTGTGAAAGCAAAATGAATACATACATTCTGTGTACTTTTACTTATATATAAGTGTTTAATAAATATCTGCTATTATAAAGATTACCTCAGTATATAGAAATAGTATAGACTTGTAGCATATTATGTATTTATTTGCAATCAACAAATGAAGTTGTAAAGATAATAAAAGCGCATTGAGTTCTTAAGACTTTGTCGTACATGTTTTTTTTTCATATTCAACATTTAATCAAAATATAATTATCAAGATCAAGTGCTAATTCACAATTATAAAGTGTGTTACTATAATCGAGTGTCTGGCAGCAATTGCATTGTAAATATTTGTTTATCTTTGTAATATGTCTGAATAGAATAGTTAATTTTTACGGCTAAAAGCACAGACACCTTATAAAAATATAAATAGATTTGTATTTTTATGTATTTTGATTTATAACTAAGCACAACTGTATTGAGTTATATTTTTGTTCAAGAGTAATTTTCATAGTTTTCTATCAACTACAATACACTGTGTGACTGAAAAATGTCAAAATTATGAAAAATGTTTAAACACCTAGCATTTTGTCACCAAATGCCATAATCGCATTTTAAAGTGTGTTGAATTTTGCCTTAAGTTGATTTGAATTATTTGAGAAAAGAAAATTAGAGATATAATTAATTTCAATTTTTGAATATCAACAATATAATTCAAAATTTTTTTGAAAGGTCAAAGTGAAATTTAATGACACTTAATCTTATTTTTCATAGTATACTTCTTTATTTTGTTAGATTTGGGTTGAATTATTTGTGTTAGTTCGAAAAAATTTATTCGAAAGTATTACTTTTCTGAATTATTGATATGATTTTAACAACTGGTGGTAAAGTTTTTTATTTTCAATCTGTAGTAAAATAATAATTTATTTTGCTTGCTGTAATAATTTGTGGAATGAAAAATTTACATGTTTTGTTTGTTTTTAATACACATTTTTTTTTGAGTTTTAAAAAATATTTCTTTTTTCAATTCGAGGCTTGAGACCTATATAAATTTAAATACTTATTGCATTAACCTTACGTAAGAATATATATGTGTATATATCGCCTGTATATATATATAAATTCTATTGTTACAAAAAGTTTTTTAAATTTTCATTCGTGGAAAATTTTTGGTTCGTTAAATTAAATTTTTCGTTAAATAATATTTTTTTATTATTTATGCTCTCTTAAATAATGCAAACAAATTTTAATTTCTGTATAAATAGATATTTTATTTACATAAATTAATATTAGTTGACATATCTCGTTTACGTTTACAGCCTACAGGAATACTTTAAAAGGTTAATAACAAACACAGTGCCGAACGAAAGAGTCAACAACAAACCGCTCAGTCGTAAATTCGTCGCACTATCACCGTCATCGCCGTTGTGATCATCGTCCACACCATCTTGCACATCTTCCCACCACGTCCACTCCCCGTCGTATAGCCGTGGATCACATTTCGCATCTAACGGCTTATTATTCGTCGCATGTGCAGTCTCACGGAAGTGCGCAATGCGTTTAAGCAGCTCCTGCACCACCTTGCCATCACTCATCGCTTCGTATAAATTATTTTGCTCACATGGATCCACAGCAATATCGAAGAGACACGGCCCCAGCAGCGGTTCACATGCTACGCCCTGCGTTGCATTAGCAAGCATACAACTAATTGCTGCATCTTGTCGCAATTTCGTTATGTTGACGACACCCGGTAGCGCCGTTTTCGCATTTATCTCGGATAAATGCTGCCACACTGTAGTGTTCATAATAAGCTCCTCATAATTGGCAGCACGTGGATCCATCTCCGCATTGCTGTCGTTGTGGCGGACACTAAGCCAGCCATCGTACTCGCCATCATCTGTGGTGCCATTGATAAATTTCCATTTACCTTTACCATATGAGACGTAATCGAAGATATCATCGATATTGTGTACAATCTCACGTTCCACAGCATCGTAACCATATTTGAGCGCGGACCAAAGATTCAAACCGTCGAGGTTCATTTGCTGTGTGTCGAGCTGTATGTTGGCCGCCGAAGCTAAGGTGGGTAACAGATCGCCAATGTAAAGCTGTTGTTTCCAAACGGTGCCTAAATTTTCCAGTAGCGGTGACCAAATCACGCCCGACGAGCGTATGCCACCCTCCCAGGGTGAGTTCTTTTGCTGTTCATAAAAATGCAGAGTAAAGTTTGTAAAATATAACTTGTGTCAACATTTTGTACTTACACCTCTGAGTGGATAATTGGAGGCGGTAGTAGCATGCAACCCCACCGTTGGTCCACCATTGTCGGATAAAAATAGTAGTATGGTATTATTGAGTATGCCTTTATTTGCGAGCGCATCTATTACGGCACCCACACTTTGATCAAGCTTGGAAACCATAGCTACAAATAAAATTATAAGAAAGTTTAAGTAGTTTTGTGGAATATATTTAGCATTCAATATTGTTCTGGAAGTGTAGTGATGTATTGCTGTGCTTCTCAAATACTCTAATACTACAGTTTTCAAACGGTATTCTTCATAGTCTAAATGCGGTTTTTGGAATCTCTTTCAAATACACAGATTGTTTTCAGCCTTAAGGTTATTTCTTGAACATATGAAACTAAATAAAAGGGTTGATCAGATATAGTAATCTACTAACATATATATATCCTCAAAATAAGTACTTTAATTTGAATTTTTGTTGTAGACAACTGATCTCCAGAAAGAAAGGTAAGGTAACATCAATGTGAAGTATTGTTCCCTTACAAGTGATCTTTCACCATATGTAGCTGTCTAAAATCATTACAAATCAAGACTCGGGGAATTTTAACATATGCGTTGCTTCAGCGGACATTACAATTTTGAGTTCTGGAGCTCAACAGAGCAATCGGGAACTAAAGAAATGCGTGAGAAGCCAACTCTAAACAACTATCTGTATGATCTTCCGGGAGAATTGTTACATTTTTTACAACAAACATGAAATCATCGTCACATTATCATTTTACCGCCTCAACTTACCCGCATACGTTCGTCTGTCCCCATCTTTAATGTATGTAAATTTCTCAACTTCTTCTGGAGGCGCCTGTAATGGTGTGTCATCATTTCCAGCATGTGGTGCCAGTTGTGCAAGTAACAAAAACAATGGCTGTTTGGTCGCATCGTGTTTGCTTATCAGTTCGGTCGCCGCATCGGTGAGTAGATCGGTGATATAAGTGCCGATATATTCGCGCGACACAGCCAAGTTGTCACGGAAATCGTGACCGATTGATAAATTTTGAACCTATAGAAATATTTTTATTATTGTTGGTCAGTAATACGAGCAGTTTTTTAAATGCAAATATTTTGTATCCATATTTACATACAGACAAGATTTTCACCGAGTTTTGTTTTTTTAATTTAGAAATTTTGAACGCACCGTTGCATCCAACGTTTGATCGTAGTAATCAACGTAGGCACCTAAGTAGCCGAAGTGATGATGAAAGCCTCGTTTTGTGGGCGTGTACGCCTTACGTGACATACCCTGATGCCATTTGCCAATTATGCTAGTATAGTAGCCATGCTGTTTGAAGATCTGCGCCATTGTCGTCTCATTAAGCGGCAGACCCCAGGGTTCATAGTTCGGTATGATGTAATGTTGCATACCTGAAAAAAATCGATATATTTTTATTTGAATAAATATCGTAGATGAAGAGTTAGAGTTTAGTCATTAGAACAAATTATCTGTATATTTTTAGTCTGAGATACCTTTTTCATATAATTTCGACGAAGAGCTTCTTAAACTCAAATCGGAAAGCTCCCAAGAATCTTCTAAACTTAATACCTCCTACCCAAACTGAACCGAACCTCCTCTTCTGGAAAACTGAACCGTCTTTAGACTTCACATTAATATCACAGATCTCCAAGTTAACTTGGACCTTAGATTTGACCGCCGCTATGGACTCGATTTGATATTTATTGTGCTTTTTTGACATCACAAGTTCGGAACCGTAAATGCTGCTAATATAGCGATTACTCTTTAGCTTAAGTTATCTACACGCTACGAATCCTATATACGGTGCGCTTTATAACCTAGTGGTATTATAATTTTTAAGATAACTACAGATAATGCTCCGATCGACTTTAGTGGGTTTTTAAGTAGCTTGACCTAACATATCGTAATGATTTAAAAATAAAATTCAACGTCAGATCAACACCCGGATTCTTCTAAAAGTGAATGATATAGCAGAAAAAAAATTGATTTTTTTTCATACCAACCTGTATGAATTGGATATTTTCCCGTTAGTAGTGCTGATCTTGAAGGCGTACACATAGATGCTGTGTAAAGATTTTTCAGAATAATGCCACTATAAGCTAAAGCATCGATATTGGGTGTCAAAAATTTATTGGAGCCACGAAAGCTGACATCATCAACACCCTGAAAATTAACATATATATAAATTACGAAGATTTTAGTGAAGTAGTTAGCACTCACCAGATCATCAGCCAATATAATTACAATATTGGGTTTGTCATTACTTTGTGCTGCCGTCAGCACATTGCAGCATAGCAATATAATTGTCAATGCTTGGCGGAAATTCCACATAATTTGAAGCATTCTTAAGTATAAATTATCTACGTGATACCCGAGTTGCTAATCAATTTAATTGTGTCGATTAGAGCTTACACTAAGTACAGCTGTCGGCAAGAGATCTTCGGATAATTTTAGTTTTCGCGCAAATCTCAAATCATTGCACATCAATTCCGTATACCTGGAATAGTAAAAAAAAATATTATTATATTATTAGTCAGTAGATTTGTCCTATACAATCAACGCTTAGGGGATTTAGTTTTTGAGATATTGATCTAAAATTTTTCTCCCTAAGTAGCTATTTATTTATCGGAAGCGTGGATATCGGGCCACTGAAACATAAAGCTGCCATACAAACTGATCGATCAACCTCAAGTCCCTGTATGGAAAAAATTTTATTTGGCAAGGTACATTCATGAAATTTGGCATAGATTATGGTCAAAAGTAGCGCTATATCTTCGAAAAAGGTTTCAACAACTCCATTCCATAAATACCAAAACTCTTGAAATATTAATAAATTATTACAATAATATTTGTTTGTTTAAATTTGTAGTCGAACAATCAATTCATATTCCTAAGTACTTAAGTATAATACTACAAAACTTTATACTTGAAATAATAATTAGTGCATAGTACCTGTCTTCCACTCGGTGTCGTATCGAACAAACAACTGGTATAAGTCAGGTGCAATGGATCAATGAATTTTTCAGCAAAGGCTACTTCTATTTCTACAATTTTTGTGTTTGATTTAATTTTGGTTTTTCGGCAATTAAGTGGTCATAAATTCATAATAATAATATATCCTCTGCAGTTCAGTACTCCATTGGCATCCATATACCTAGTATTATGATTTTCGAACGAAATTTCTTAATACTTTTTTAGTGGATGAGAGAGGAAGCTGGTTCAAAGGGGTTCAATGATCTACCTACTGTCGAATATATAAGTTGACTCTCCATCATAAATAATCGCGAAACTTAAGCTCAAATAGACCGAAAAATTCTCTCCAACAACGAATCATTTGTCTTTTATGGAGATGCGCCTGCAGTGCAGTCATGCTCCACGTCATCAGACTGTTGCAATTACCAACGATTAAAATTCGACTTTACATTGCAAGTAGCGCTTTTCAAATTAAGTATTTTCATAGAGACACAAATTGAAAGTCACTTCGTGACATGTGTAACTGTCTAATTCGAAGAACACTTCGAATAAGCTTTTGCACAATAACTCTGTAATTTGTCTAATCTTCACATTTGTGGGTGTCGATGCTCATTAAATAATTTGTTATGTCAAATTAGACAGCGTTTTTTTCCCGTTTGCATGCTGGCGTGTCTTAATTTACTTAACCGTATTTAATAGCGCCAATAAATTTCGAAATGTATACTCGTATGCATGTATTTATATAATATATCTAAATAAAAACACACACACATACTCGCTTATGACAAAATGAGTTCGAATGTAACTTTCAGTCATTCGGTAGAATTTGTTTGTCATTCACTTATTTGGAAGACAAATATTTTTAATTATTTTCAGATAAGAAATCGGTTTGTCAATTAGCTTAATAGCCGCTGTAATTTAGTTTTTAATATTTTTCAGTTGGTACTGATTAAATAAATCAATATATAATACTTTGTGCTTCGTTGCATTTCTGAGGATATCATTTTAGTTGACTTCAATCAAAATTGATAATTATTGTAAATAAATATTTAAAAATTAGGTTAGAGCAAAAATATCAATCGATTGGTTGTGAACTCGGCTAAGCGATCGATGATCTATTAGTGTAGTCTGCTATAGTAATGAGCTATGCTTAGACCAGTTTTGGCACTTAGCGTTGCCAGATGGAGTGCAGCTACGTAGTCCATGAGGAATAACCATCTTCTAGGATGCCAATGCAACGAATTTCAATAGGTTCTGTGGCCACACTTTCGATACTTCTCTCAGTGTCTCATACCGTGTGGCATCCAAATGCTTGAAGCGTTGCCTTGCCAATGCAGGACAAGTGCACAAGAGATGCTACATTGTTTCCCTGTAAATCAATGACCAACAGACTGTGACCAGTGAATATACTAATGATGTTCCTACTTAAAAAGCTGCTTTATGCCTAATTCTGAACGTTATATCCCACCAACTCTGTCTTCTATTTACGCGCCATGATGATGCATTAATCTTGAGCCAAAATGATTTGAGCATCTCTCAAGTACTTTGAGCACTGTTAACTCAATAAAATAGCAGAGAGAGCGACTTTTTTAAGCTGCCAACGATGCTCTGCTTAAAGGAAATTGTTATTTTGTTAAAAATCCAGATATAAATTTTGGTTATATTTTGTACCCGTCTGTATCTAAAACAAAACTAAACTGAGACATGGTAGGTCCTTTTAATCGAAAACGCTATACTTGTACATCTGACATATCAATGAATTAGATCAATTTCCGTAATTTTAAGATATACGATATATATTGTATTTAAATATTTGAGTTCACTGCAATTTTAGGAATTACTTATATATATATAGGTATATATACATATGCCAGCACGACCTCAAACAGCTGGGTTTCAAAGGGATGATATTCCACAAGACACCGATTTGCTTAATCGAAACGGACCCGTATTTATGATTGATCCAGCGCTGTAAATTTTTTTAAAATTTTTTGTAGAATATTCTCATTACAATAGCAATAAAAACCAGATCTACATCTTTTCCTTAAGAAAGTCAAAATTATAGTTTTTGTAACATCCCGTTTGATAACATCTTAAAGATGAAATAAGTGGACACACCAATTGGTGGAATATGGTAGAAATGTGATAAAAAAGTCCTTCGAATATAATCCATCTAATCTTTGATGACCAACGCAAAAAAGTATTTATGGGCTCACGTAAAGCCTACTTGTATCAGTTCTTGGCTGAGTCACATACAAGTAAGTGCACATATTTGTCTAACTTTCGCTAACTTGGCAGCTGTCTATTTTAGCGTTTTTCTCATAAAGTTCAAATAATTTCAAAAAGTCAAAAAATGGTTCAAGCTTTTCGCAAACATTTATATAGTATGTAGACGCGTCATTTATCTTTATCTACTTTAAATGCAAATTTATTTTAGTCACAAGCCGAAACATGCGCCAATCTTTGTTCTCTCACCGAATTTCCACTTGTGCTGACGACTATGTGGGCTTTGTGTAGCCGCTTAAGAACTTCAAATAAAAATTTTAATATACATATTTATCGCTTGTTTTTACCTTCTGCGCACTTTTTCACGTTTTTCACATTTTCGTTTAATGCTCAGAAATAAGAAGGTGAAAAAACAAAACATTTACTTTGAGTTGTGCCTCCGCATACGGCCGTCTGTAATTATTTGCTGACGTACATACCTAGTACATACAAACTATAACTAACTTTTTTTTAAATAACATATATATATGGACGTTTATATATTTGTATGTATGTAGATATGTAAGCATGTGTGTTTGTAAGCGCAAGCGTGTATTACAGATATCAGCTCATTTATCAAGCAATATCGGTTGGGTAATTAGAAAAAAATTGGTTAAAATACTAGCAGGTAGTTAAGATTATTTTAAAGTAGTTTTTTTCATTGCTTATCAAAAAATTGTTTAGATCGGACTATTGTAGCAAATAGCTGCCATAAAAACTGAACTATCAAAATAAAAAAAAACGATATGTTTATACCCTTTTATATTATGAAAAATGCACCTGTGAAGGGTATTTTAATTTCGGTGCAGCCAAAATCAACTTATCTTATTTTAATATTATTTTTTCTCAGAATGTTTTTATGTTGAGTTTTTTTATTTATAAGTTATTTTTACTCAGACTCATTTCCTTTTTAAACATTTTTTTATTGAATTTTTACATATTTTTTACTTAATTTTTTGTATTAAGAATTTTTTGGTCTTACTTAACTTTTTCTAAATAATTTGTTTTTTTAATTTTCTCCTTATTTGTTTATATTTTTTTATTTTTATACTTTTTTTACATACGATTCTTTTTAATGATTTTGTTTACACTTATTCGGACTAGTTTCAAGTCTTTATTATAGTGCTTCATTCGCTGGCGTTTAGGTAGCTAGCAATTTACTTTGATTTTCAGCTTAATTTATTTTAACTCATTTATCTTATATTTTAGTGTAGTTTTAGTTATTTAATACAATCAGCTATTTTGTTATTGTTGTTGTTTTTTATCGACAACCACCGACTTACTTCGCTGATTTATGCACTTGAATGGCTGAATTGTCATATTCTCACACACATCGCACGGTTCGACGTAGATAATGATCGTTTTAATGTGGCTTCAGAATAAACAATAGCCAGTCAATGGACCATGAAGCGGTGGGAGAATTTAAGTATGCGTTTAAAACACTGATACTTCCGAAAAATGTGTTGAATAAGCAATTGAAAATGCTTATTTTGTAGCAAACAACTATTTAAGTAATTAGTTTCACACATTTCAAAGAAGAGGAGGCAAAGTTTTGGAACAGATATGACAAAAAACAAAATATACGATTATATTTACAGAAAATAATAAAAATTTTTCAAAATTCAACTATTTTAAACACAACTTAATTTTTGAAAAAAATAACAAGCATTCTAGCACCCACAATTCAATCGAAAAATACCTCAAACACCCGTACAAGTATTTCTGTCTGCCACTTACGAACAAACTTTAACGCCTGCTGTAGTATAGCACTATCCAAACCGTTTCGTTACGCTGAGCGCGGTTAACTAACTCAATTGCTTGTTCAGCATTTTAATTTAATCATCAGTAAACACAAGCAAAATCTGCATAAATAAATTATACGCTGATATATTGTTTTTTTTTTTTTTGAATAGAGTTACTTCGCGGAGATTTAGTCAAGCTCGCGCACTACAACCGACCGTTATTAGTCGATAAGTGCAACTTTAACTACCGTAAACAGAGAGCGAGCGAGTTGGATAGAGAGAGAAATAATAGCTAAGCGCTTTAGTGATTGAGCGGTAGAGAGAGACCGCATTTATAAAGTTTATCCAGAGACTAGCGAGCTTATTCAGCGACTGGGGAAGTAATTGTGTTTGCATTTTCCTGATCATTTTATTTATGCAATAGTTAGTGTTTTTGGACAAAATTTTGCCTCTACAACAATAACAACACTACTTTAAATTACTATATGCAAAGAAATTGTAGGGTTTTAAGATTGGACCAAAGTACACTCCAGATTGAACACCCATCTACATCTTCTTCCGCGATAACCTTATTAATAATATAGATATACATGCCCGTACATATATATCCGGTTGTATAACGACCTGAACATCAAGCCACGATCCCAAGTATACTAGATCCACGTTCAAATCACTCAATTAAGGCACCAACCAAGGTTTTCATATCACTTAGAGTTTTACCCAAGAATATTACTCTATTAGAAACAACCTTTTGCTGAGAGTTATATTTTAAGGAGTTTCTGGCTGAACACTTCGCTAATTACTTCGCGATTAATATGAAAGATGTTCATTGTGGTGCCATATATACAAAATGGAAGAAACTTATTTATCGACAAGTCCGAACACATATGATAGTGAGTAATTCATTTTCGGTTGGTGGAACTCCATAGTACCCGTGTCTCTCTCAAGGTCTAGAAATTAATGTTCATGGAATGAATTGGAAGTTCAAGCTCCTCCACTCGAGGTGTACTTCATTATACTCTGAACAGGATACACATATTAAGTTTGCCACGAAGCTTGTAAGACTCAGAAGAGAACTTCGGAGACCCTATACAATATATATATATAATATATTAATGATCAGCATGACTAGAACAGTCGATTTAGACATGTTCGTCTGTATATACGCAAGTAAGATGAAAAAAGTCATTTCTACTGTTTACTCATACGCAATCGGAATGTACCTAAGTTTGAAATCCATCAAAGACTGTTAACTGATGGAGTAGTAGTTTTAACATTAATATTTATTGTATCAACGATTTTTTTAACAAAACCTATTTCCTGCTTTAAGTATGCTCCACTTTTATGCCCTCTACTGAAGTAGCAGTTTCGCAGGGCATACCATAGAGACCGCAAACGAAAAACTCTGCAAAACAATTAAAATTATTAAACTGTACCTACAGGTGACCGCAACTTACCCTCACTGGCGGTATCTTCCAAAAAGTTAGACCACACGCAGCGATGACGTGAAGGGCTATACTCAAAGCTACCTCTACGATTAGCCAACGGCATAGCGCTACTTCTATATTGTCGTACGCTTCTACGCATGCGTTTCAATATTTTTTTATACTCATTTAACGGAGCTAAATTATTACGTTCACATGGATCAACAGCCACATTGTAGAGACATTCTTCCCACAACGGATTGCAGCTGCGTTGTACGCCATTGCCACAGTCTACCGTGGCCTCATTACGCAGCTGATTGACAAGTTCTCGCTGCAATTCATTTTCGTCATATCTTTGCAATACCTGCGCGGTACTTGAGTTCTTCACGGCTGTAAAGTAATCGACGCTTCTCGGATCCGTATCGTATAGTTCACGATAGGTCAGCACATTATTGAAACGTCCGGCTGATGTTGTGCCATTCACATACTTCCAATCGCCTTGCAGTAAAGCAGCAACATGCCACACATCGTCGAGGTAATGCACTATTTCGCGGGTGTAATTTTCAGGATTTACATTATTTCTTGCGGCGCTAAATGCTGGCCATAAATTCAGACCATCCAAATGCAACGCTGTTTGATTAAGCGGTATATTGGCGGCAGCGGCTAAAGTGGGTAACCAATCACCTATATAGATGGTTGGGCGAAAGAGTGAACGACGTTGCGGAATTAGCGGACTCCAAATGGCGCCAGCAACGCGTACGCCACCCTCCCATGCTGTATTCTTTTGCTGTGAAGTAAGACATAAGCAGGCTTAAGTAATATTAATTGTTTTTGAAGGCAGACATTTTTATATCCATACCCCTTTGAAAGGCCAGTTCGATGCTGAGTTTGCGAAAAGATCAACTGAAGGTCCACCATTGTCCGATTGAAATATTACTATAGAATTCTTAAGCATATTGGCTTCTTCAAGTGCGCTTATTACACGACCAACGCTCTGATCCAGTTGTGAGACCATTGCTGTGGAGAGATAAATATAAATTGTTAAAGGAGGCTTCCAAAAAATGGTATACCGATATCGGGACTAAAGTTTCCTTTAAATATAACATTCAAAAAGTATAACCACAACTGTCGTATGGAAACGATCTTTAGTACTCTCTAGTAAAGAAACCGCATGTAGAGGGTACAACTCAGACAATATTTTTAAATAACAGAACTCTGTATGCTTTCGTCGGTTTGTACTCTAGTTACAAGATGTTGCTGCTTCGTCTTGAAAGCTGTAAATTTATTTGGAGTTCGGAGAACCACATATATTTCTAAAAATAATTGCAAGTGTCTAACCGATTTTTCCAAAATCAGAACTATTTTGTATTTTAAATAAGTATTTGATTATTTGTACCCTCAAAACATATGCTTAAATATTTTTCCAACAAAAAAGAGTAACTCAAACGATTGCGAAATAGATATAAAAAAAACTGCACTCACCTGCATATTTGCGCCTATTTGGATCTTTAATGTAGCTGAAGTTTTCAATATCTTCCTTCGGCGCCTGCAACGGCTCATTAACGTTACCAGCATGCACTGCCAAGTGACTCAGCAAGAGAAAAAGTGGCTTCGTGTTATTATTCGCGAGTATTATACGCTCAGCTTCACTGGTGAGTAGATCTGTCATATAAACACCGCGATCGGCGCATTCAAGCTCCAAATTGCGATAGAAGTCATAGCCCATCGAGTAGTGCGGCAGCTTGCAAAGTAAGCAGACAGTGAAAATTAAATAAATTTTTATTAATAATACATATGACAACTAAACTTACCGGCATTTGGCTGCGTCGCTGATAGTAATCAATAAAGCCACCCCAATAGCCATAGTGATTGTCGAAGCCTCTATAAGTCGGCGTGTATTCACGTTTTGCAAAACCCAAATGCCATTTACCCACCAGATGGGTTGAGTAGTCAGCTTTTTGGAAAATTTCTGGCATAAGTGTTAAATTTGTTGGCAAACCCCATGGTTCCTCGTTGCTTATAACAAAGTGTTGTGTGCCTGTAAAGTCAAAATAAGCGTGTTAAATTTAAATGGTAGTGAAAATTGAATTGTTGAAAAAGTATTTAGCAACCTGTGTGTATCGGGAAACGTCCGGTCATTAGCGCACCACGCGATGGCGTGCATATTGCCGGCGTATATAAACGTTCCAGGATTTTGCCATGATAGGCGAGTGCATCGATATTCGGTGTGAGAAATTCGTTCGAGCCGTGGAAACTGACATCTTCGAAACCCTGAGAGGAGTAAAAGAACAGTTTTAGTTGAAGGCAGAGAGTTTACTGATATGTTTCTGATGTTCACACAAGGAGGCTACACTTAAATTTTATACGAGTAAATTCTGATATGAAAATGTATAATCAATTGTATACATATATATCGATATCGGACCACCAAGTCATATAGCTGCCATACAAACTGAACGATCAAAGTCAAGTCGTTGTTAGGAAAAGGTTTTTATTTGCCAAGTTTGCCAAGATATCTTCACAAAATTTGGCGTCGATTATTATTCAAGGCAGCGCTACAATCTCCGACTAAATTTTTTTAGATCGACCATACAAACTGAACGATAAAAGTTAAGTTCTTGCATGAAAATTTGTTTGTGAATTGTATTCTATCTTCGGTGAAACCGAAGTCAACGATATTTTTTGGTATTCTGTATTCTTTCCTCTTTTAGTAAAGTTTGATCTCTGTGATAAGTTTTCTGATTTGTTATTTCTTACCATTATAATTTTAAACCAAAATTTATCTCGTAGCAACTAATGGATGTATTCTAATACTACTCTAAAAAGACTACACGGTAATTTGATAGACTATAACGGCTTTTTTATATTCTCACTAAGCACTATTTTCTTAACACAAACTACCGTAGATTTTGGTTCAGTGAAACTTAACTTAAATACTTACTAAATCATCGGCTAGTATGAAAATAATATGCGGCTTCTCTCCATTTTGCTCCACAGTACTATCAGCAGCAACAACCTGGTAATTGATAAAACCGAAGCCGACAAATGCGTAACTCAGTAAGCAACTCAACGTATAACACAACATAACAATTTCGCTATCAAACAAGAGTCTACCGGTGACGTATGCGTTCAGAGTGTTAAATTTAGAATTACAGTGATCTAATTATGATTTACAAATTGTTTATTTTTGTTTGTTTTGATGCTGCTGCTATGTAAGTTCATTCACCAGTTTGGCGCGTCGAAGTCACTTTGCGTTGCTGCTTACTCAATTACGACTGATTCGTTGATATAATCGAATTTTAATACAAAGCGTTGGCTGTGAGCGCTGCGTTCTGCGACACGAAAGCTTACCACTGAGAGTAATTTTTTATATTTTGAGTTGTCTGTTTGTCCACTTGAGTGTTATTTATTTCAATTAGATGACAATAGGCAGAGATCAATTCGCTTGAGTGAAATATCGCTCAAACTCAATAAAAACGGAGACATAAGTGGAGTTTTTTTTTTTTGAAATTCGCACAGTTTTGTATAGTTTTTATCAAATATTTGTTATCATCTCATTAAGTAGAGCAATAAGAAAATGTTAGAGATAAGTACATAAACTATGAAAATCAGAAAACAGAAATGTGAAAACACTGTTTTGAACAAAATTTGGCTGGCTTCCTAACAGACTTCAGAAGTAATTTTATACAAAACGCGCACGCGAAGATGCTTAGGATTTGATGCACTGAAACCAGGTAGGCCACGGTGTTTTAATGTTAAATTGAGTTCAGATACTTATTTGTGGGGAACCGACGACAAATATTTTCAGGTAAGTCAGCGCTTGAGCTTCAGCTTCTTGAAGTAAATCGATTTATTTTTTTTTACCTTACCTTAAGTAGTTCATTACATACCTAGTCCAACAAAATTTGATTTTTTTTAACCTTGAAATTATATTTATTTTATATTTATAGGCACATTCAAAAAAAAATGCTCGCACTTGTACTATCTATCTTTAACTGAATTCAGTAAAAAATGAAAAAAAAAACGTTAACCTTGGCTGCACTGAATATGGCAGCTATCTGCTTCAGTGGTCTGATAATGACGATTCCACGCAATGAGTAGTGGAACTCTTTGAATGAAAAAGACGCTTACAACTTTCAGACCGATATCTCCGAAATTGAGAAAATACTTTGCATATAAGCATTTTATAGGACCGACCCAAAAGAAAAGGGTGTAGCTAACTTCGTCGCAAACTTTATATACTCTATTCAGAGTATAGTAAAACTACTTGAGTTATATGAAGCCACTTTTTTCTATATAACAAATAATCTACATAATCTCTGTACATTGCAACTGTCGGCAATTTCATTTATTAAACTGGCTGTGAGTGAAATTTGCTTTCAGAACTATTTATTTTATACTTTTAATGGAGTTTCGAAAAGTCTCAAAATCAATAGGTTTATTGGAAAAAAATGCAATATAATAAAATATGTTTCTAACTGGTTAAAATATTTCTTCACTAAACATCATTTCTATGATATTTTATTACCACACTAAGTTCGAAACATTTTGTAAAAAATAATTCAATGGTGCAAGGGCTTAATAAATTGTATACATTCAGCAGGATAGCTATCCTAAAAGTACATCTATAAGTATGGCTAAAAGTATATCTAAAAGTATGTCTAAAAGTATATCTAAAATTATACCTAAAAGTATCTTTAAACACTGATATTTATGGTACACTTTTAACACAGAATAAAACTGCACCACATTCTATAATAGTATATATTTGGAGAATTGACCATTACCAGCTATGTCTTTCACGCACATCAATATCACAAATTAGATTATGCACGGGAATAGCGAGCATACCAGCGGCTATAATGCCATACGAGTCTGCTTGAGCCACCATGCCGATGGCATATTGACGCCGTTCGGGTGGTACCACTTTAGACATGTGATAGAAGGTATTCACATAAGCGCCACCGCCAAGCAAACCCTCCCACAGTACAAACAAAATTATCAACCAAAAGCTGGGTGTAAAAAAGATAATCGCTTCCAATGTGAAGATCACGGCATTGATGCATTGTAAAATCGCCATTGGCCAGATGAGGGTGAAGTGTATTATATTGACGGAAGAGCGTGAAATAAATACGCCGATTTGATAAACGGTGCTAATCCAGCGATATTGAGTTGGTGGTGAGATGAACATATTCTCGAAATACACTAACTCGTACTGGAAATAAAAGAGATTGAAATCAGAATTTAAGAGTTAGAAAAAATTATAAAATAAAAATAAATTACGGACCAAACCCATATTGATGAAGTACTCAGCAAAATAGACCAAAGAGAGTGGCAGAAAGAATGGCAGCAAGTTCTTGAAGAAGTATATCATCTTCTCCTTTACTGTAAGCACATCTTGTGGCACCATTTCCGCTGACTCGGTGCGCACAATCGCCTCTTTTGGATGTCGCAGTAATAACCAAAACGTCAAAGCCTCCAAAGTGGGCACATACAGAAATACTAGCATAGCTTGTTGTGGTGTCAATTTCAAATCAATGAGCACCGTATAAGATAGAGCGCCGATTATGCCTGCGCCACCAGTTCCAGATGACCAAGTCGAAACCACATCTCTTGTAAATACGTACATAGCTATTATATTCAAATGTAAAGCTAATAATCGTCCTACCCACTTATTAAAACTGGATGAGTAGGCCAGTAGCGTGCTCTCGCCAATACCACAACTGGCCGAGGTGAATATTATACCGAGAAAAGCCAACCATTCGACTTTTGCTAGAGCGACTGTTATGAAACTGAATACCGTTAAGCAGACAGCAAGACCCATGCGCGCACTATTATTTGATATAATATATAGAAATTTCCAACACATATATTTTATATCATGCACTCACTCGACCCTGAAGGGCATAAATGGTGCCAGAAACTTCACCAAAAATGATGGTATTATGTCAGCCAGTAGTACTGCGCTGGTGGACATCTTATTGCAACGCCGTTGTGTGCTGTTCGCTGCTAACTCCAGTACTTTACTTGCTTGAGTCTGGAAAGTGTGCATTTTGAAAAGTTACGACCGAAATATTTTTTAGTCGTAATGAAACTAACCTCACTTTCAAAAGCTGAAATAATATCATGTGCCGCGGTCAGCATCACAACATAACCGTAGTTATTGCATAAACCTAATAACCAATAGGCGACGAGATCACGCCATAGTCCATTGTCTTTCGTTGAAGTTGGCACTGCGTCGGCCATGTTTATTTGGAATTATATTATATTACTGCGCGTTAAATCAGTTTTGTAGAGGTTTCGAGGTAATCTTGAGACTTTCACTTCTTATAAACTTTCGAAATTTTTCGTTTCTCAAAGAAATTCGTTGAAAATTTAGAAAAAAGATAAATTTCTTTAATTTTTATTATTCACGTTTGACTTTTTTCTTTAAATTTATTTCATTTTATTGTTTCTATCAGACTCGTAAGATTGGAAAGTATTGGAAATTATTGCATAATATTGTCAAGAAAGTATTTCATCAATTTTATATTATTATTTTTCAAAATATTTTTTGGTTATATTTTAGGCATTTAAATAAATACATTTAACCACAAACTTTAAACCGCATTTTCAAATTGGCATAAGGAATTGCAGAAAACGTAGTAAACCGATATTATTCATCCAGCTTTTTAAAGGATATAAAAATCTACTCTAGATAGACTACAGGCATAAAGAAAAAATTATTTGAACATAATTTTTTAACGCCAAAACAAGCGAAAATTTTGGAAAAAAATCTATCTCTTGTTTGAAGCCTCATTTTCATTGTCAATCTCCGGTCAAAATTTGTACTACCAAAAATCAATCAAACAATCACAGCTTTTTGGATAAGTTGTCTTGTTGACAGTTTTTGATCAGGTTTGCTTTGGTTGTGAATACAAGATAGACGAGCTATCAACGAATATGAATTATCTCTTCATATTATATGTTAAGCTTTCTTATTCATATACCTACAAAATAAGACAATGTATTCGGAATAAAGGTATATATTGTACATTAAGCATTTATGAAACAAAAAAGTTTGTTGCATAGTTTTAGGCAGCTTGTTGGTATTCAAACAAGATACAGTCACGATAACTTGTAGGACTTCTGTAGTCGACTTAAATTGTAATCGCTTTCTAATTTTGTGCTGCTATTCGTGTTTAATAATTCTGAATATAGAAATTGTATTTTTAACCAGATGGCATAAAAAATATATTATAGTGGCTTGATCCAATTTTGAGTACTGTTAGATATAATAACACCGCTAATACCAAGAGGTTTCGATTCACTCTTTATAGTGTCTGGTTGCTGTTTCGTACAAGTTTTATATGGAAGATCACTAAATGATTGGAGGAATACTTGGAAACTAAGTGTGGAAAAAGGCAAAATTCAGTTAATTTCGATACGAAAATTAGGTATTTAGTATATCCAAAAATTATAGTAATAACGTTGAGTATATAGTCCCATTTTATACGCATACCTTTAGAAATTTCAAAAAATATTTTGAAAATTCTTTGAGCACCACAAAGTAATTTATTTACACTGTTTCCTTTACGATTAAATAATTATACAACTTTTGTGCAAATGTTTGTAATTTTTCACTAATTTTAGCTAGTGAATGTTTTATTTTTCGATGTCTTTTTTACAAAATATTTTATAAATAACAGTTTTTACAAGCTTTCGCAAAATATAGAGCTTTCACTACAAAGTTCTCGTATGGAAACTTGGTAAATCGTTTATCTTTTATTATAATTTATTTTTATAACAGTATTTTATGACACATAAAATTCCTGGATTACATTATGCTTTATTGGCAACTAAAGTCGAATAAATTATATGCTTATTCATATAAGTATGCTGTTTTTCTGTAAGGAAACCACATACCACTATTTTTTCGATTTCATATGAAACCTTTGACTCTAACAACTAGTTAATACAATAATACAACAAATTTTGATCAAAAGACCAACGCTAAGTAATACTAACTTAAGTCTGACTTAGACTATACTCGAAGAAATTAGCCCATCCTAGTAAGTGACGCTGACAGCTCACCACACCACTTTCCGATACGCAGGCGGTAGCGAGCATATTGCATTATGCAATGGAATGGCCAAGAAACCAGCCAAGGCTATGCCATAAGCATCCGATTGTGTAACCATAGCCATAGCGAAACGTCTACGTCCGGGCGTAATCTCTTTCGACATGCGATAAAAGGTGTTCACATAGGCGCCACCGCCCAACAAACCCTCCCACAGCACAACAACCAATGTGATCCAAATACTTGGCGTATAGAAAAATATAACTTCGGTGAGAAAGTAAGCAACGTTGATAAACTGAAAGACAGCCATAAGCCAGATTTTGTTGATTTTGTATAGATTAACCGATGAGCGTGAGATGAACACGCCAATTTGATAGTCCACATTGAACCAGCGATATTGTGAGGCCTGTGATAGAGTGCTGTTCTCGAAGTAGACCAATTCAAACTGTTGGTGAAAAAAGCGGGAAAATGGTAAAATAAGTAAAAGTATGTGAAATTAACTTTCCAAACACTTACCAAACCCTGATTGATGAGATACTCAAAGAAGTAGACCAATGCCAGCGGCAACATGTATGGAAAGAGTGTTTTAATGTAGATCAACTTCTCTTTGAAACTACGCAATGGTTTTTCGTCAGTAACCAATTCCTCTGTTGACTCAAGCGATGAGTTGGTCAGTGGAATTATGGTGGGCTTGCGTAGTATTATCCAGAAAGAGAATGCTTCCAGCGCAGGGAAAAACAACATAATTAACATAGTATCGCGTGGACTAACGTGAAGTGCACGCAGTGAAGCATAGGAGAGTGAGCCGATCACACCGGCACCACCAGTACCGGATGACCATGTAGAGACGACATTTCTGCAATGGAAAAAAATTTAAAATTTTATTATGAAATAATAAAAATCTTTTACTATACATATTTCAAGATATTTCATTCCTTTGGACGAACAGATGTATAAGGAATCCTACAGATAACCTTTAACTTTATATATTTCATCTTTTGTACGAAACCGACTCATTACAACTAATACAAGTTTTTATAGCTTACAGATTACTTTTAACTATGCATATTTCATTATTTGGTCGAACTAGTTGGACGTATTACATATTACATTGATTGAACGAATACCCATATACTTCCACAATGCCTATTCGTTACAATACTCACTTATTGAAATGCGCCGAATATGACAGGAAAGTCGGCTCACCAATGCCACTACTAGCCGATGTGATAACCACACCCAACAAGGCCATCCACTCGGCGTTCGCAAAGCCTACGAGCAGAAAACCCGCAGCTGACAACAACACAGCGAAGAAAATCTTGAAACTGCAATGAAATAAAAACACAATTTTTAATTAAATTAAATTTAATAATTTTCGACATTCACGGCACTTACTTCACCCAGAACGGCAGAAACGGTATAATGATTTTCACCATTAACGAGGGTATAACATCTGCCAACAGTATTGCGCCGGTCGATATCAAATGACATTTTCGCGTATCGTCGCCTTCATTTTCAACGGTACTATCATCGGTTGTTTGATCCTGAAATTGTGCGATAATATCATGTGCCGCACTCAGCATCACTACATAACCGTAATTATTGCATAGACCCAATATCCAATAGGCTGTGAGATCACGCCATAATTTGCGATCTTTTGGCGGCGGATGTGGTGTAACAGGTGAGGCGACAACAACCTCCTGATCGCTAGACATTTTCGTGAGCGTTTGCTATATGTAATTGTCGCAGGCAGGCTGCAAAGAAGGTAGGCAATTTAGTATGAGAAATACCGAAGTGCATGTAAATCAAGTATGAAATAATTGTTGCTAAATATAATCATATAATTTCGACCAAATTTGGTAGACAAGATTTTCCCGACATTCCCATGATTCAGTGCGAAAATGGACGAAATCAGGCAAAAACCATACAAACGAAAAAAAACAATTTTAAAATTTCATCTTATTCTTTCACTTTTCGGTATGCCATATGTGAAATTGGGTGAAAACTTGTCCTAGACCCCATATAACTGACAAACCTTATGCCTGAAGGTATTTCCCCGACTTTAATTATTGCAGGTTGCAAGAGTATGAAATGTCCGGTTACACCCGAAGAAAGCCCTTGCTTTGCGGTGAGTTGTCATTTCTGAACTGTATTGTACGTCACTGGGGATTTACCTCATATAATAATAGTTATTGGGAAGGCAGTAAAGCCACTTAAATTTATAAATTTAAACCACAATTTGAATTCGTTTATATCGAATTAATATCGTTTTCTTCCGAATTTATATTATATAATTTTAGACCGTGTATATAGAAACGACATATATTAACAGATATTGCTATTGAAGCGTTACTTCTGTTAAATTAATAATTTCATTATATATATAAAAGTGGTTTATGTCATACCATTAAATATTTATATTAACTTTTTTTATCCACACAATCACATGCGTTCACTTGCGGAACTATTTGTTTACTTTCGCATGTTTACCTTAGCTTAGCTTTGCAACAATAATTTATTAACACTAGAAGGTTATAAGATAAGCTCAAATTCATGTGCAAGTTCAAGTGTTTACATGTGTAACCTAATAAGCACATAAACTCTTTCTTTGGTCACAGCGACCTCTCCGATATTTTATAAGCACGAATTTAATTTGATTGCAATTGGTTGTGGCTAATTGAAGCTTCCGCGCACGTGCCAACGACTATTTGCCATAAATGTCAATCATAAGTTTCAAATATGTATGCTTATTGCTGTTTGTGTAAGCATGAGAGGCGGGTGTTGCGCATGGCGTATGATGAACTAGTGAGTATGAAAAGATCTTTAACTTATTTTTGAACGGTCAGTTTGTATGGCAGCTATAAGTTATGATATAGTCCGATCTGAACAATTTGTTCGGATATTGTAGCACTGGCTTGGGTAATAATACAAAACGTACGTGTACAAAATTTCATGAGGATTTCTTGTTAATTAAGAAAGTTTTCCATACAAGGATTTAATTTTTTTTACCCAGTTTATACGGCAGCTATATTATATAGTTATCCGTTATCGTTGGTTCCGAAAACTGTGCAGCTTCTTGAACAGAACAGAACGTGTGCAAAATTTCAGATCGATATCTCAAATAATAAATAACTTATTCGCGTATATTTTCAGATGAGCAGACAGACGAAAAGTACTAAGGCGACTCAGCTTATCATGCTAAATATTTATATACTATATACAAATATATTTTAGGGTAACCGACGTTTTTTTCGGTGTTACAAACCTCGTGGTAAATTTAAAATACCTGGTTCAGCTTATCACAAATACATAATATCTATTCTCTTGCATACTATTTTTTTAGTGTGTACAAAATTTTAAATCTAACTTGCGTCAGCACTTATATAATCGTTACTTAATTACCAACCAATCAAGCTTTCTTCCATTTATTTGTGTTTCCATTCAGCTTAAATGACATCACTCGTTACTTGTCGTGATTTATTTTCGTTAATTTATACATTTACTGTCACTCTAAGGCAGAAGAGAGCCGAAATTCCAACGTAATTTGCACAGTTCTAACGTACATAGATCCACTATACATACGAGTTTACTGGAATGTATTTTATGACGCTCACGCTTATCTGCCTGCATATTCACTTGGCAGTGTGAAATGTAAATTCGCAACTCACTTTTGTATTTAGCCAATTTTTCGATTCCCTTTCTTAAGTCTAGTGGTTACTAGTAGTTTCATTAACTACCTGTTGCGCGTATATACTGCTTTATATATGTAGCTTTATGTCTTAGCTAGTTTTTAAGTGTTGCTTTTGCTTTGTATTCATTAAGTGTTTTTTTTAATTATATATATACATATATATGTATATATAGAGAAGTATAAATGTAAATTGAAATATTTTTTGCGTTATTTTCAAGATTAATCAACTCGTTGCCAATCGAACGGTGAAGGCAAGTCAAGCTTTCATTACCTGTGGCAAGTTCAAAACACAGCTGATTTGAATTTATAATTAGTTATTGCTTCTGTTATTACTTGTGCTTTAAAATATATGTATGTACATTATTTTCTATCCACATGAGCATTCATTGGTCGGAAGGCTTAATTAGCTGTCACTTTATAGTTTTGAACATCTGCAATCTTGGTGAATTCATTTCGAGCTAAGTCGAATATTAGTAACATATAAATGCTTAATGATTTCTTATGACCCTTAAAGACCCTAAAATATAGAACTGGATAGTTTTCTAGTTCTAATATCAAAGCATAATTCTTTAGATCAAATCATTTGTTTGCTGGTCACTCTCTAGTTTGAAACCTTTGTGTACATATGTATGGTATATGTATAAGCTTGGTAAATATAATACGAGTTAAATCGAACACTTTAAATTTCTATAGCTTTGACTATGAATTTACAGGCTAAAAACCTTTAAATACTGATATTATTTGTTATTCTCTGGAGACCGGTATTTATTTATTGAAAATATTCTAAAAGTTATGCGATATTTTTTTCTAAAGCGTGAACTTATTTAAATATCATAAGAAAAAAATCTCTACTAGCTAGCTTTCAAAAGCAAAAAGTTGTCACAAAAATGTTTAAAAGAAATTTCGAAAGTTGTGAAGTGATTAAGACAGATGCTTCAAGCCAGAAATTCCATGTAACGAGTTTAGCGGTCATCGGGTACACGCTGTACAACATTCCCCACATGTTTTGCTAACTCAAATTGTTTTGTTATCAAGTAATTAAGTAAATTAAAGTAGTAAAATTAAAACAGCTGAAAACCACGTCAATTAGTGGCGATACAATGACTTTTATGCGAAGTAATTTACATGTTCATAAAACATGGCTTTTCAAGCAACTTTACAAAAATAAATTAAATGGATTGATTTAAAAATAAATGTAAAGAACTACAGTATTTTGTCAAAATAAAATTAAAAATGAGGGTACTAGCTTCCGTTTACATATTCGAAGAAGAAAAAAAATTTCGTATTGCCTTTTTGTTTTCTTTTTCTTTTTTGGTTTCTACTGCACTCGAGCGGTTTGGGCGTTAAAAAACTCGTGATCTTTGTACTGTTTCTGTTTACCTAGGAATTCTGAGATCACATTTTGCACTTATATAAATTGCAACAACTTCCTCTTTGGCATCAAACACTGTTGTTATTGTCTAATATTGGTTTAAAAATAAAAACGCTAAACATTTGAAAATGACTTGCAAGAATCATTTGTCAATTACAGTATTTAATGAATTTTTTAACTTTGATGTTTACAAGTTTAGATAATATATGTATATACGAGTATATATATGCTGAATAAACGATTTTTTTTCGTCGACAATTTGTCATGATTAGAAGAGTTCCAAGAGTCATAAGAAAGAAGTACAAAGTAGAATACAAAATTCACTGAAAAGTCTTATTTGGAAGCAAACTTTAAATAAAAACGTTAACAAATACTTTTTTTTACTAAACTGCGTCGTATCTACGGTTTTTACTCTTCAATCCATCACTACACAGCTAACCGTTTTCAGGAAGCTTGCTATTGTTAAAAATTGTTCAGCACCCTTTCTGTTACTATGTATAAGCACTCTTACTGTAAATATAACTTATTATAAAACAGATTATGCATGATCTATAGCCTTTTTATAACTTATGGAATATAAAATCACTCAACAATTAATTTTATTCATGCAGTTTATATAAAGTTCTTATGCAATTATGTGATATTAAATAAATAAAATCATGTTGAATTTTGTTTTCGAGATTTTCTTTGGTTTTAATTTTGCATATAGTTTTTTGCTATTTATTTTTAGCTCATACATTGCACGAAATACTTATAAGTTGAGTTGAAATTTTTGTTAATAAAAATTGCAAAATTTGTATTAAGTTTGCCACGATGTTTGTAACACCCAAAAAGGAACATCGGCAGCTGCCATACAAAATGAACAATCGGAATTCTAGTGTTTGCATAGAAAAAATTTCCATTTGACGAGATATCTTCACGAAATTTGGCCAGAGTTATTGCCTAACGTAATAATGCCACCTTCGAAGAAATTGTTCAGATTGTATATCTATAGCATATATGTAGCTGTTATACAAACTAAACAATCGGACTCAAGTTCTTGTAGGAATTCTTTTGTATTTGTGTAGGGTATAATTGCTTCGGTGCAATCGAAATTAACGTTTTTTCCTGTTGTTATTAACGTAGAATAAACTAATTTGTTACGAGTTTAATTTTTTATATTAAAAAAATAATAATTCGCTGCTTAAAATTTTCATTAAGGTTACCAGAAAATTAATAATATTTTTTTTAATAATTAATTGTTTTTAATTTTCAATTTTGACATTTTTTATAAAAAATCCTCATTTGAATTTGAGGGCTTATAACTGTTTTTTTATATAAATTTTAAAACTTTCAATAACATAGAATAAAATACTTTTTAAGAATTCAATTATTTTGTTTGACAATTAAAATCATTCGCTGCTTGAAATTTTCATTAAACTTACCAGAAAATTAGTATTTCAAACAGAATTTTTCCTACCAAATTTAATTTTATAGTTATTTTAGTTAATATTTTTTATTGAATATTTGTTTATATTTTTAAAAAATATTTAAGAATTTTTTAATTTTTTTTTTGCAATTGTGTAATTCTCTTCATTAAAATATATTCGATGCCCCCGCTGCTATTACAACACTTTTTATTTTATTTATAACTTTTAAAGAATTGCACTTTGCTTAAGTAAGTTCAGAATAAATCACTTCATAAACTTGTGCGCACCAGTTACTCAATGCTTCAGCAATTGTAAGCGTTTCGCGTTTTGCGTCTTGAGCGAGCTGCTAGCCGCCAGCAACTAAGCTCACCGCCAAAAACGCGCATCGAAATCGCATCGCAGTCGATGAATGATTGAACAAAATAAAAAAAAAGACAGCAATAAAAGAAAAAAAACAAAGGCACAATACAACAACAAAAGAAAAAAACAATAGGAATGAAATGAAAAAAGTTAATAATAAAAATAAGCGATTGCAGTTCAATACACAAGTAAACCTATAAAAAAAGCGTTTAAGTAAAAAAAAACAAAAACAACAACATATTACTACAAATAATTTGTCTTTTAGACACTTGCAGGTTCTGTGCGGACCATCAGAGTTCAGCACGTTTTAGCGATCGCTGCTCTGCCACTTGTATTTATTTGTGTTGGTTGTTGTTCTTGTTGTTGCTCTCTTCAACGACCCACTTTGAAAGTGCAGCCGAAGCACGAGATCATATACAGCGCTAAACAAAAAAACAAAAACGAACTTGTCGCATATCAGCACACAAAAAATAAGAATAAAAATATTTTCAAAATTTATTTTGAAAACGAACGAACAAATTAACAAAAACAAAATTAGAACGAAGCAAAAACGTGAAATAATCGATCGCCCGGCTCATCTTTACTGCGTAGTCGTTTTTTCGATTTATTTGTATTTTTATATTTTTTCTTCCCGTGCGAAGCGCTCGATTCTTGTCTGCCGACTGCAATCAATGCAGCCGCAGCATGTGTTCAATGCTTGCTTTTGTTGTTGTGCTTTTGCTGTATGTACATACACATATGTATGTGTGTATATTGGAGTGATTACTGCTGATTGGTTATTCGTTGCGAACTTTTTTGGGGGCCAATTTTCTGGTATTTTGGTAAGTAAAAATTGCATAAAGCAAAGAGGAGAGGAAAAGAGAAAAAACGCCAAAAATGTTGTTGATAAAAATGCGGTGGCTATTAAATTTCATTGAACGCACGTGCAGATCACTTGACTTCACAACTGGTTTGCGACTTGATATGTGCATATATTTGCCGGCAATTTTACGTTTTATGCTTTATTTGTTTTTATTGTGTACATACACATATATGTATATGTATAATAGCTGTATTTGAAGTTTTCTTTTCATTATATATTTTTCTTTACTTTTTTGTTTGCAGCACATTTCAGATTTACTGTAATTATATGTTTTTGTTTTTGTTTCTTTGCCTGCAGCAAGTCTGATAAATAATTTCTCGCATCTCTGTATGAGAAATTTACAATGGGGAATTTCTTAAACGAATTGACAAGATCGTCAAGTTGCTGAATTTCAATGAAACCCTTGGGTTCATTGAACTTGAACCTTTTATAATGTGCAATCAAAATCAATGAATGTTAGCTTATGCAACGTTTCAATAGCTTTTTTATAAAACAAAAAAAATGTTAATTTCGTTACCACCAAAGCTAGAATACTCTTCACAAATACAAAAAGTTGCTATACAAGAACTCGATTTTCCATCGGTCAGCTTATATGGCAGCTATATGCTAACCATATTGGTTCGATCTGAAAAATTTGCTCGAAGATTGTACCGTTGTCTTGGACAGCTATGCAAAATTCATGAATATCTTGTCAAATAAAAAAGACAGACGGCCAGACAGACATAGATGAATCGATTATCGAATCGATATCCTCACGCTAATGATTTATAGCTCCTAGTCTCGGCATTCCTTTACCTAGATATGTGCTGGCCGTAGCTATGAGGCAACATTCTTTGAAATAATTTGCATTACTTTTGACGCATTGTAGCTTCTGTGAAAGGTTTATAGAATAGCTATTATAAGTTCTATTACACTACCAAATCCCAGTGTGCGCTTCAATATTGTCGTGAACGCCTAATGTCAAAACTTTAGCCGAATGGAAGCGGCAGCGTCCGCTGACTTTAGAAAACTGTCAAAAGAGCAATATCGGTCGGTGATTCGATTCTTGTTTTTGGAAGAGAAATCAGTTTTTGGAAGGAGAATCAGTAGTGTTCAGTGTTTAAAAGCTCACACTTCGTTGCTTGTTTGTGAATTCTTAGCCAAAAACACGGTGCCGCAGCCTCCATATTCGCCAGACATGGCTCCGTGTGACGTTTTCCTGTTTACAAAAATAAAGATAACTTTAAAGGGCTGTCGGTTTAGAAGAAAATCACTAAAAGAGCTAAAGGCTATCCCGAACAACGAGTTTGAAAAGCATTTCCACGATTGGAAGAAGCGCATAATATCGAATGAGGACTAGTTTGAAGGCGACAATATTAACGTAAATGAATAAAGTTTTGTTTTCAAAAAAATGAAAATTCCACTTATTTCTTGAACACACATATACACTTCTCAATTTATAAGAAAAATGAAGTGCTTAAAGAACTGATTAGTTTTAAGCCAAAATTAGTAGATTTTATTAAATTTTGCCACGTTTCGTATGGGCTTGAGAACTATTGCTTTTATTTAATAATATTACCATTCTTCTCATCTAAGTATAAAGAAAACAAAATATACTTTTGCACACATATATACCATATATGTATGTATACCTACTTGTATATCTGTTCAGAAATCTCAATGGCAACGCACTTCAATTCGATCAACTTAACAGCTGTACAAAGTTCGTAACAACAATCGCTCATCAAAAGCAACAAAAATCAAAGATTAACAACAACAATTAACGCATAACGGAACATAGAGACAAACACACACATA